TTGTGATCTCCCATTTATGATCGCCATTTTCAACCAACTTTGTCGGAAATTAAACAAAAAAGAAAATTTATAAACAGGTGAATTCTTAAGATCTTGGTACGGTATCTTGCCATATGGGTCGACATACCCAAAAACTTATCAAGTTGACAAATTTTTCCTAGGCGGAAAGGAACTATCAACCAATCCAAACGCTCCTACACCAGCAAAATAGTATATTATAAACATCAGTATGCTTTTTTATTACCAGATTTGACGGAAAAAAATAGATTTTTGTCGCTTTGTGACACTTTTGGACTGCTTCTCTTGGCTTCAAAGTTGATGACAGTTTACAAGGCTTTCTTCCTAGTAGATGTTTGCACATGTTATTTCATATCCTGTCGACACAGCAAGGTTGGTTTTATTTGAGTGAAAGGAGAAAAACAGTCGGTTTAGACCTTTTATCGGTCGACCAGAATGTATAGACCCTTACAAATGGTCCCACCATTCTTTACTATCTTCTGACTTCATATTATTTGTTGAGGTAAGTTGCAGGCACCGAGTCTACAAGCCTTTGGCACTTAATATGGAAGTACTTAATGAGATTGTGGACTTGGTTTGGCAATTTCAATCAAAAGCCGTCAGACAAATCGTCAAAGGTCCTACGTCACCCTCACTATCCACAACGACCGCATCATTCCTTTGTCATCGAATTGATCCATTCCCGATTCCAAAAGTTTCGCTCCAACCTCACCGATCCATCCTAACACGCCTTAAAGCCTTCGATCAGCCGCCCTAATCGACGATAGCCTCGAGACCTCCTTGCCCCTTAATCCCTGGCAATGAGTGCCAGAATTGGCAGGTTTCTCATGCCAAAAAGTTCTGTGATTACATTTGTAATTGTAGAAATATGTACAGGCTACTAATAAAATGTAAAAAATAAAACGTATATGTATTTATATATGTATCCTATATAAATATATAAAAATATGTACAGGGTTCAAATGAAACAATTTACGAAAAAGTTAACAATAAAATATGTCCAATGGTTTAAAAAAATTAAGCTCAATAAGCTTCAGTGTCAGTTTGTATAATAAATACCCAATAACTTTATTTACGATCAAAGGACAAAACATGAAGAAAAGGTAATAGAGCAAAACTGATCATGTAATTTCCAATATGCTGAACGGTTTTTTTTCCAATTCATTCTTTATGAATAACCGTACTACTATTTGTTGATAAGAGAATTCCTCACTTGTCATAACGAAATTCCTTTATCAAAAACTGTAGTCAAAGTAAACAAAATCGTAGAATGTTTTACCAATGATTAATTTTCAAAAGTAAACGACGGTTATCAGAAGTCGCCTTGAAACCCCTAGAAAGGAAATTTGGTAATTTTTTTGGCTAAGTAGAATCGTTATCTTTTGGAAAAAATTACAATTTATTATTAAAATATAGTAGCATTGAGTACTAAATAGTCCACTAATTTATCAAAACTGTACGCACTGTTCGAAAATACAATTCCAAGTTGGTTTCACTTCAGTCAGAATACGTGTAGCTGCTATCATTTCTTGATAAGAGAGGACAAAAGCAGAATTCAAAAACCTGACCAAAACCAGTTCAATTTTAAAACAAATTGGCCGGCAAGTAAACAAAATCGTCCAATCTTTTCGATAATGTTTAATTTTTATCGAATTTTCTCTTTTATGAATAACCTATCGACACGACATCACTAGAAAAACAAGGTGAGCATGATGACTAAAGTTTCGGACATAAAGCAATAACAAATAAAATCAGACAACCAATTGTGGAAATGTGGACTATGATCCAGGAAATATTATTTCCAACATCATAACAAGTTCCAACAGAATATGGGAAGAAGAAATCAGGAAAAAGTACATTCTATACAAAGCCAAAATCAGAGCTATCCAACTCATTACAGAAAACAAAACAAACATCTCAAACTGAAATACATGCTGTCAATGTACCATAAAAAAATCTTACAAGAGGTTACACTGAACCAAAAAAAAATCTCATAGAGGTCCTAAAAACAGCCTTGGGTACTACTAAGGGATTTTGGGTAATGAACACGCAGACTGGCTAGTGGAGGATCTGCAAGACCAACTCTAGACCGAGAAGTTATAATTGGGATAACAAGATCAAACAGAAACCTCGGGATGGGTCCACACGAAACAAAAGGATAAATGGATAAACTCTAAAGGTGCCAGACATTATAAACTCACGGTTAAAGAACCCTCGTCTAGACTAGAATGCTACAGCTTAACAGGGTTAAAACTCACGAGAAGAGCTCAACGGTCACTGACAACATGGTAATAATCAACGATGACCCCCAATTGTAAGTTGTGCAATGAGGAGGAAGAAACTACCACCCATATTTCGAATGCGAAGCAAATGCTCAATGGAGACAAAACCTAAAGGAGAAAAGTGTCGATTTAACTGAGATAAGAAATTAGGAAAAGTACAATAAGCCAAAATGATGGAGTGCTTGGGGAATACCAAACTTCCACGCTTCCTAGACTCATCATCAACATCAGGTACGGTAAGCAGGTAAGCAAGCCATGCTGGGCGATGGAAATAGACTCCAAGATTACGTTAGTTGCTTATCGGTGGCCACTGTCCAAACTTTTTTCCAACCCAAAACAAAATTGCAATATTGTCATAGATTATGTAGTGATGTCGTGGTCACTGGATACCCAAAACAAAAAACCAAGAAATCCAACAAAAACGACACTAGGAATGACAAACGTATAAAAGGGACCTCGAGTTACATAAACCGACTAAAGATGGTTAGGGATGGTTATGGCCGATATGCGACTGACAGAACAAATCGGCGAGGATAGGCAGATCAGACATAAAAACCTGGCAATATTTTGGGCGCCAGGCAATAAAAGGAATTTGGTTAAGACAATCAGACTAAAGAACTATCTGCAAGTCCAACTGTAGACCCAAAAGATCCTCCATCTCAGATTGGGCCAACACAAAACAAAAGGAGAAATTGACGAGCTCAAGAGGTGCCAGGGATTGTTAACTTCTGGATAAAGAACCCTGGCAAAATGGCAAAGACATTGTTACAGCTAAAAAAAATTATATATACTCGGAATAGCACCTTGCGCAGTGACAATATCGTAATGAATGAAGTGCTACAGAGATGCGATACTCGGGATAGTGATAAGGCATCTAAGAAAACATCTACATAACATGTTAATAAACAGCGACACATACCCTAAAGTACCAAGATGACCTGGGTAAAAAAAGAATTGCAGCAATGAACGTCAATGGTCTAATATTTTTAAAAAGAAGAATCGAATGAAATTAACTAAGGAACTAGGGAAAGTACAATAAGGCAAAAGATGCTTGGGGGATTTCCAAACCCTTCCGAATATTCTCCTATTATTATTATCATCATCATCGCAAGTGTGGAAAACCGGAGCATTGCTATTGGTGAATTAACATTTCTTAGCATTATTATTTCTTGATAACACAACTGTAACAATCCGGGTGAAAAAAAATCGTCGAATTTATCTGACGAACTACCGTTGACGATCAGTACAATCTGACATCATGACATCTCGAGAATTTCTATATATACCAAACCAGCCTCGGACACAGTTAGCTACAGTCCCTTCAGTTTGCTACCCGTTTTTCTGACATGGGAATCTTTATTGTCTGTCGAGAAAAATAAAGAAACTACAGACTTTGGAAAACTGTATAGTCCGTTTTTGAAACTTTCATTTCTTGAGAAAAGACAACCAATCGTTGGATTTGCCATAGAATTTGTTGATGATCTGTACAACATAACAGAATGAAATCCTCAAAAACCGTTTTGAATCGCGGATTTTATCGGAACTGAACAATTGTACAAAAGAATAGTGACAAAAAGACAACCAATCGTCGGATTTTCCATACAATTATTGATGATCAGTACGACCTAACTGCTTGACATCCTCAAAAAACGGAACTGACCTATCGTACGAAAATATAGTGTTGAACGTTCAATTCTTTAATACAATTCTTTGAATCGTTCCTTTTTCTTCTGTTCAAATATACTGTAATACTGTCGAGAAGAATAAAGGTACTACTGATTTTGCAAAACTGTATAGTCTGTTTTTGAAAATTTCATTTCTTGATAAAAAGAACCAATCGTCGGATCTGACATACAATTTATTGATGATCAGTACATCCTAACAGCATGACACCCTCAAAAACCGTTTTCAATCGAGGATTTTACCGGAACTGACCAACTGTTTAAAGAATAGTGTTGAACGTACAATTATTTGAATCGTTACTTTTTTCCTCTGTTCAAAAATATACTGTAATACTGTCGAAAGAATAAAGAAACTACTGATTTTGGCAAACTGTATAGTCAGTTGTCTTGATAAAGAGATCCAATCCTCGGATTTGACATACTATTTATTGATCGTAAAAATATTGTACAACCTAACAGCATGACATCCTCAAAAACTGTTTTGAATCGGGGATTTTACCGGAACTGAACAATTATTCAAAAGAATAGTGTTGAACGTTCAATTCTTTAATACAATTGTATATACAATAATAGTATCGAGAAGAATACAGAAACTACTGCTTTTGCAAAACTGTATGCTCACTTCTTGAAACTAGAAGTCATGATTTTGTCTGTGAATAATATGAGGTGAAAGAAAAATGTGTATGGAGATGAGCATACAATACTCTTAAGCCATGTTAAAAAGAATACATATAATTAAATAATTCTCGTTCGTCAACTTTTCTTTTGAGTGCGTTATCATTTCTTTGATAAGGGAGAAAAGCTCGCATAACTTTGTTCAATTTTCAGCAAAACCAAGCCTAATGGAATTACACCTTTTTGACTAATTTAAAATTGTATTCGGGTATTACCACGTCTTGAGATTTAGGAACAGGACAGACAGATTGCTACAGCTCAATTTTTTACATAAATTGTTGCAAGAATCCTTGAAATGATATGAAGGGATTTTGGTGAAATTTTGAGGAATAAAAGGACTTACCGATAGTAGGAAAGAGTTCCGTTCGATAGGACGAACCACCTCCTTTGATATCCTTTCAAGTAGTTAGTCCATTTGAGTAGCCATCCCTTCATTTCGGGATCCGAATGGGATTTCGACTCTCCCATTTTCTTGATGTAAGTTTATACCAAAAAGGTGCGGATTTCGTCGTAAATCGACTTTACGGGTCGGAAAAAATTAATTGTCACTGTCAATCCCTGGCCGACTTTGGTGTTATCGGAACGTAAGAAGGAAAACGAAAAACATCGCAGGATGGAAGAAATCCGTTCAACCTCATTTAGGAAAAGGTTAATAAATGTTTTTAAAAGGAATAACTTCAAACTTGCGACTTTTTCCCCGACAGTTTCTTACACCCTGAAAAACGACTCAGGCCGACGCACTCTTTGCGACGTAGTCGCCCAAAACAAAAGTGCACCGTTTTCGAATAATTTGGAAAACTCGCGGAAATACTGGTCCAAAAATAAATTTAAAAACGGCACGAATTACAGAGAATTGCACATATTGTTTGTACATGCGTCAACTGCAAACCCGAGGTCGGGTCTAATATCAGCTGATCATGGTTTTGTACATTTCATCTTAGTCGACGACAACATTCAACACGGCGACGGACCCACGTTCAACTGACAGTTCGCCTTCTTCCACCTGGCGGCGCGGGAAGCGGTTCTTTTTCATTCCTAACGGTGATCAATGACATTCATTGACTCAAGTCAATTAAAGTTTGTTCTGACTAAAAAAAATTCTTTTATTTTCTATTTTAGTCTAAAATCCTACCCCAGGGTGTTCTCTAATGTTTAATCATTTCTCAGTAAATAAATTCTATACTAGTTAGTTTTTCAAATTAAATTCACGGACAGAAATGAAGTTCGGATAAGTATAATAATAATATACTTTATTATTTGTATAGTACGTAACAATTTAATACAATGAAATCAGAAAAAACGAAGTATTATATAGTATAGAAAAAGAAAATCCGTTTGCCGGTGGTCGTTGGATAATACAGGCTGTTCGACTACTCGTGTTACAAACTTTGCCCGTAGATTCTACATTCAAAATGCAAGCGAAAAGTCCTAATTTGATATGAAAAATATTGAATTTAATTTGAAAAAGAGTAAATTTGATTTAAAAAACAGTTAATTTAATTTACAAAAGAGTAAATTGTATTTGAAAAATAGTGACTTTAATTAGTCAAATTGTGAAATCGATTTGTAAAAGGTGAATTTGATTTGAAAAGGAGTGGATTTGATATGAAAAAAATTTAATTTAATTTGAGAGAATCAATTTAAATTGAAAAAGAGTGGATTTGATTTGAAAAATAGTGAATTTAATTAGTAAAAATGTGAATTTATTTGTAAAGGGTAAATTGATTTGAAAAATACTGAATTTAATTTGAAAAAGAGTGGATTTGATTTGAACAAAAAAGAAGTGAATTTTATTTGAAAAAGGGTGAATTGTATTTGAAAAATAGTGAATTTAAATAGAAAAAGAGCAGATTTGATTTGAAAAATAATGAATTTAATTAGTCAAAATGTGAATTTGATTTAGAAAGGGTAAATTTGATTTAAAAATACTGAATTCATTTCAAAAGCAGTAGATTTGATTTGAAAAATAGAGAATTTAATTTGAAAAGTTATGAGTTTAATTTTATTAAACTTACTGATAGTGAATTTAATTTGTAAAAGAGTGAATTAGACCTGTGTTTTTGTGCGTGCGTGTGTGTCTGTGTTTACGGTGTTTGTTTGTTTTGTGTGTGGCACTTTTACTTTCAGTTTTTTATAAATTGTATTTTTAATGCATTATTTTCATGAAATTAAGACATGCAAAAGAATAATTACGTTTGGGACAATTTTACACCGAATTCGAAAGAGAGTTGGCAACACTGTCACTCATTTGGTTACTTCTTACCGCGGTCCCACCACCACTGTCAAAATTGTTTGTTGACAATTCTCGTGGGCCGGTTTGTTTTGGTCGCTGTCGCCTCCCTTCCAAATTTCCGTACGGGTATTTCCAATTTCCATGCCTTTATTCCGTTATTTTCCATTTTTCACATTCCTACTTTACACTCCGGCAAAAGGGAATCAACCCGAAGAACGGCACAACCTCTACATCGAAGGTAGGTAAACACACGTCGAAAAAGCAGTCGAGGATTCGACTTTTTTCCCATTTTTTCACTTTTCTTTACGAGTTTTACGTTTATTAATGCTCCTAGCGATATATATACAAGTTATAACACTAAAATTCTTCAAAAAACGCATCCATTTGGAAAAAAAACCGATTGTGAGTGTAAAAAACATGCATGTTCACATGCAATCTACATGGTAAATATTTACAGTTATTTGTTATGATGTACCGTTGATGTGGCGATAAAAAATAGCCTTAACTATTAATTTATTATTATAATGTAATCCTTTCTGGATGCAACACTGTCACCATGGCCAGCACTGTCACTTTGAGGACACATGGGAAAAAACAGTCAACGCTGGCCCTCAACATGAGGGATTTAGAAGTGAGGATATCTCGAGTCATTGTCATTTTAAGATGACTTGACGGGTTCTCGGTATGGGGGTTCTTCACTATTCTTTAGTAAGCACAAGTTGTTTTTTTGGATGTTCCTTTGCTAGGATTGGACTTAGAAGACAATGCTCGACTTAGGTGGTAATGACAGCGTCGGGATACATAATTCAGCAGTGTAAAAGGTACACTAGATGAGACTGAGAATGCTTCTTTGTGTGACGCCAGTACAAGTAGTGAACCGTTAAATAGAATCCTAGGACAAGGTAAGACGGAGTGAGCAAGATGTTTTTAAGTTCATAGTGTATGAGAACCCTTGATTTAAAAAATATCTATTGGAAAATTAAACTGAATTGGTTCTAATATAGAAGTTTGTAAAACAGTTTCCCACTGTTCAACTTTGTAATATTTACATTTACAGGTACCAGACCAGCAGAGGTATGCGCTATGATGTTCAGTAAATCATTACTACCTATTCTGAGCAAGATAATTAACGTTCTTCCATTCTATACCACTCAATTACATGTGTGGAATCGAATGCCCATTTTACTACTGTTAGTAGATTGTTGTCGACAACAATGGATTTGCCCTGCTTTTTCAGCTTGGTTATTCTCTTATGACCATTGGGCATAATGCTGTAGCCATTCCATACTTAATACCATTCTGAAAATAACAAAATTTACACTAAACCCTTTGTCATTAAAGCTAATTAAAATTCCTGAGATGTTTTGTCTAATTAGGGGCTAACAGGGTTGCCACATCTGTTTTAGATGTGCTATGTAGGGATAAAAGAGGTGGCTATAAGGCCTTCTGCACCTCGACCTGAGTAGATATTGTGCTCCTCTATTTTTATAACTCAGTAGCCAGCTTCAGGTTGTTAATCGAACTCCATAGCCTTGCCAGTGGCTCCTTAGTGTAGGATCTTGCTTGAAGCTTTTCCTCTCCTAGTTGCAAAAATTTATTCTACATAGACTCTCACAAATACAGAACATGTATTCTGTGGTCTTCTCTTTTTCCTGGCAATATCTGCGCTGTGTTTCTTCTGTGTGTACAACAATCCGGTACATGTGTCTTCTTAGATGTCAGTGCCCTGTCCTTAGTCCAGCCAGAATCCTAGTTCTTTTGCAGTTACCTTCTATTAATTCCTTTGTAAGATTGTCGCTTGGTCCTTCTATGAATCTCTTTGTGTACCTCATGTCTGGGGTTGTTGTTCCATCAGATTTTGGTATCATTATGGATCAATTTTTGGATGATTCTTTTTGGAGAATAGAGAATTCATATTGGCTCCTTTTTTGGTCAACATGCCCACTTTTCATTGTCAGGTCATTGGTGTTACTGACTCCTGCCAGGAATTGATACACTGTTTGCCTTTACAACGCATGTAGCTAAAGCCTTAAGTGCTGCCTGGTGTCAGAGAAAATGGGTTATCTTCCTGTGTTCCTAGCCTTTTATTTCTCTGGCACAATGTTCAATTGCTATGATTTCAGACTGGAAAACTGTAGTGTGTTTACCTAAGTTTAAAGTCTTTTGGACTTCTGATTCATCCTGAGTACTCCAGCTCAGGTGGCTCTTTCTGTTTTTGACCGTCAGTATACAAGTAAGAATTGGACTATGTGCTATATTATTACATATCAACATTCTCAGTTGGCATTTGGCTAGATGAATTTTTCCCTGTTATATTTAAGCAAGAATAACACAACTAAGAATATAGCAAGATCTTTTTATCACATTCAAGCCATTTAAACAGAACATACGATGAAATTTTTAACTTTGACTTAAACATTAGCCTGTCAGACATAGCAACATCTTTATATCACCATTTCTTATTGGTTTGAATATGTAATTTTGTTCAGTTCTTGCATATACTCTTTTTTTTAGGGGGGATCAACACGGAAGAGATTTATCACCCTCTGGGGCTCTGATTTAACCCTTTGACGCCTGACATGCCCTATAATTTCTTATTCATTTTAATCACACGTTTTGCTATATCAATAAATTTATTTATTTTTAAAACTATAAACCTCTATGTGTTGATAGTATCTGTGTACTATTCTTAAGTGTTATTGCCTTTTTTTTCAGCTACACTTGACAGTTTCTTACATGTTTTTATTTTATTGACAAAGATCCGTATTGACACCATATCTGAATCGTAAGTTAATTTGTTTCATTATTAATATGGTTTTTAACAAAATTCCAATAACAACGGGCTGAACATTTTTCAATAACTTTCTATACTTGCGCAAAGTGTAATAAATGTATTCCTATTACAAATTTGTACAACAAACTAATATAATAAAGTTTAAATAATTACACTTTAATATGATGGTAAGAGTGTTTTTATTTATTATAAATATTTGCTAACAAAACTACTATTTAGCTTGCTCATAATTTTAGGATTGAACCTTTACCTATCTGAATTTGGCTCATCAAATCGATGTGATATAAAGCGTTCAAATATAAGGCCTTTATTTAAAAGAAACTTTGTAATACAAGATGTCTAGCACAATAAAGTTGAAGGTACTCTATTTGTTACAAAAGTATATATAAAACAAAACATCAAATGTTTAAAAAAAACTTTTTGTGTTATGTGTATTGATGTTGTGTTCCTCTATTTTTATAACTCAGTAGCCAGCTTCAAGTTGTTAATCGAACTCCATAGCCTTGCCAGTGGCTCCTTAGTGTAGGATCTTGCTTGAAGCTTTTCCTCTCCTAGTTGATGATAGATACTAGGAAGTGGGGTGCTCCCCAAGCACTGCAGCCTTCTCGCCTATTGTACCTTCCTAGTTCACTAATTCAGTGCAATTGGCTCAATCCTTCTTCCCAGATGTGTTAGGTCATTGACTGTCACTGCTACAATTTCATTCCCGGGGGTTTTTCCCTTCTTTTTGTATCCTAGGTAATTTCTCCATTGAGACATTGCTTCAAATTTGCAGATGATATGAGTGTCTGTTTCTTTCTCCTCATTGCATAATTTACAAATGGGATCATCGTTGAATATGCCCATTTTATGTGGATGTTCTCTCAGATGCCAGTGACTGGTTTAATAGTCCTATCACTTCTCCCTTCCAGCGGTGAGTTTGCTAGTCTTGGTGAGGATTGTTTAGCATAAGTTTACTGGGTCTAGTGCCCCTACAGTTTATCCACTTTTCTCTCTCTCTCCCTCTCTTTTTTTCTCTCTTTTTTTTGTTTGTTAATATATTCTGTGTTGGAGGATTTTGTGTTTGTTTCTGTTATCCCAAATATAGCTTCAGGGTGGTCTGTTGGTCTTCAGGGTAGTGGTTTGGTCTTAAAGATGCTTCTCTGGCTAGTGTATCTGCATTTTACCTTATCCAAAATTCCTTTATGTCCTCGCATCAAACAAGATATTGATTGTTTATCACTACTATCAAAACCTCCAAACAAAGGTTGTTGTGTTTCCCCATGTTTTGGAGATTTTGGATGCATTCACTGACTAGTTTTGATGCAATTTTTTTTACAAGCTAATGCTTTAATAGCTGCTTGGCTATCCGATCTTATGAGAATTTTTTTCTGCTCAACCTTTTTTAAAATTTTCTAGGGCACAAGCATTGATGGCACGTTTTTCTGCTTGAAAAATTTCTCTTATGTGTTTAATTGCTCATATTTTGGGTTTGTACAAAAAAAACACCTAATCCAGTTCCTTGTCTATTTTGGAGACATCTGTATACCATATGATGATATTGATGCTCTCCTGAATTCGTCTTCACCTCTACAGTCTGTTGAGACTTTACAGGATGTTGTAAAGAATGTTTCCAGAATCATATAGTCAGTCCCCATTTCAAAGAATGGGTGTCAGATTTTATTAATTATGGTTGTATGACCGAATTGTTTAGTTCCCATCCAATTTGATTGTTTTTAGAGCCTAAATGAGCTTTTCCTTGTATAAATGTTTCCAGTGGAGGTAGTAGAGGTATAGTAGAGTTTCTAGCACACCTGTAGGGGTTATTCTCAATGCCCCTATGAAACATAGGGTTTGCTAAATTATTAGCAAAAATTTTATTAACTTGATTTGTCCTGTGCGCATGCGTGTGTGTGCGCGTGCGTGCGTAATAATTGTGCTTCAAATAACAAATATTTATATGCTGCCTAATGTTTGGGTAACTAATTTTTGTTGAACTTTTGTTCACCAAATTAGTGATCCATATGTTATTTTGGGTCTTATTATTGCTGTGTAAAGCCAGTGAGCCGTCATGTTATGTGCATTACTTTAACAAAATTTTATTAGCTTGATTTGTCCTGTGTGTCCTGTGCGCATGCGTGTGTGTGTGTGTGTGTGTGTGTGTGTGTGTGTGTGTGTGTGTGTGTGTGTGTGTGTGTGTGTGCGCGCGTGCGTGTGTATGTAGCTAATAATTGTGCTTCAAATAACAAAAATCCAGAATATTGTCTTAACTTCCTACCGCCAGTTTTGTGTGAGACATGTTAAAATAATTTAATTTTGTATCGTTTGTATATGTGGTAACAGTATAACAATTTGTATAGATCTCATATCTGTTGGGGGGGAGGGTCAGGTACAGATTATGATGTGATAATAATTTATAACATCACATTTTCTTTTTGTGTTATGTTAAAGTCACATATAGTACAAATATTTTATATTGATAAAACAATTTTTAAATATTTTGTTCCTTTTTTTTATCAGAACACCAAAATTACATAAATGCAATACATGAAGCGCTTAAAACGTATGAAGAAACATCCTGTGAAAACTGTTCCTGCTATGATAATGTGATAGCGAACGATTTAGCACCTTTCAAGGATGGAATAACGAAAGAACTACTTGGAAAAACGTATACAAGGTAAGTCATTATTTGTAGTTTGGACAGTAGGTTAGAAGGAGTCTCCCTCTTTGTGATCAATGTTGGTCTATTGTGGTCCCAATCATTGTTTAGAGATCTTCATTAAGCTTAAGGCTTTTTACCACATTCCAAAGCTTTATTAAGGGTTCCCATAGGAATCCCTTAGGCCTTGGCTTTTCCTCTCTGAGAAGCAGGAATCTCAGCCTCAGATATTCGTACCACCAAGGGACTTCTGTTGTTTCTACTTCCTGACAGTATTTGCCACAGTCTATCTAGGTATACATACGCCTCCGGAATCAGCATTCTTACTTTCATTATAGCCCTAACATATCCTAAGTTTGGTAGTTCTGCTGTAAGTTTCTGTGATAGTCCTTTGATGAACTTTTTCACTGAATACTTTCCCATTGAACCAAGGTCTTTAATCTTAACATATGACAGGTTATAACACTTTATAACACCTTTACCTTGGCAGAGGAGGAATGAACACAGAAATATTTTGTAATGAGTGTGACAATAGGTTTTAGTTGCTTTACACCACTTTTGGACCAGTGTGCAGCGGTTCATCTTATTTCAGCCTAGAGTGGATTACAATCATTTTAGTACAGTCCCAGGTATTGTACTATGTACCAGTAGGTAGCAGTATGTCAATCAGTTGTAATGGCACAGTAACTTTCTTAGTGAAAAAACATTTTATTTAATTCACTTTTAGTCTCCATTTGTCAGTCCCCTTCTTCTATCAGAGTGAGGTGGTATTCAAGTTAGATGCCTACAACGGATAGGTTTGAGTGAGAAGATGCACAAAGATGGAGATGACTACTACGTCGTCATTTTTGACTCAAGAGTTCAATTGATATGAAACATTTACCTATTTTTTTTACAGGTGATCTCAAATTTCTTTGAAAAGTGACAATGTCCTGATGATGGCCTTAAAATAGGTCAAAAGCTTGGCAGTAATAACTGAATTTGCTTTTTTTTTTATTCATGACTATACCTTGATCCAGAGTGTTCAGGAACTTTCCTTGGCCGATTTATGCCATTGACCCTCTGCCTTGTATGCCCCCTTACCCAAACAAGGATAGTTTGAACACATTCAGTGTGGCCTGGTAATTCAATTTTATCCCTCTTAGACGGCAAAAATTTCCTTTTCCTAGAAATGTTACACATCATGATCTGCAGGTGATCAGTCCATCAATTGAGCCAGTTTGGCTTTCACGCAGGTCACCAGCATTGAACTTGTTAATTGCTTGCTGCTTCAGTCTGAAAAGTGCGTTTCAACTTCTCATCATCCTCAATTGTGGGCCTGTAATGTGGAAATCTCACACTATTATTAAATTGTTAATGACTCTTTTTTTAGGTCAATCGTATGCGTTAATATTAGAGTAAACTTTTTTTAGTGTTTTGCTCAAGATTCCAAAAAGTTTGAAAATCCAATTTATTTCTTAACTTTTTTGTTTAAGTATTTATTTCTTAATTATTGTTTCTCTTGGGAAAGGATCGGCCTAATTATCATTAACATTGTTTCAATTTCTAGATTTCTTTCTTATTTTTTGTGATTACATAAAATTTTAGTTTTTCTGATTGGTTTTAGTGATACCAAAACAATAAGGCATATATAAGAAATATATTTTGTTTTGTTTTTTCTGTTTCAGTGGTGTTAAATATCAAGTGATAAATAATAAGGTTTACAGACGGCATGATTGTCTGTTTCCGTCTCGTTGTGAAGGGGTCGATTATTTCCTAAATAAAATTCGTAATGAATTACCTGATGTCGAATTTGTCGTGAACTTTCATGACTGGCCACAAGTGAATCGTCATTTTAATTTACGTCTTCCGGTGTTTTCATTTAGCAAGGTGTGTACTCTTTTATTTGTTTAGAACTGCTATAGGAATAGTTTAACTTAAATTTAACTTTTTTTTCTCTCTATAAAGTATGATGAGAATTGGTTTGAATGTGTTTATGTATATTTTTAATGTGAAATATAAGTGTAAGGATTGGCCTAATTATTATGTTATTAATTAATTATTATTTATTATTTAATAAATCTTAATTGTTTATTTTAGACTGATAGTTTTTTTGATATTATGTATCCCGCCTGGAGTTTTTGGAAGGGAGGCCCAGCAATCAAGATTTATCCAGTCGGCATCGGAAAGTGGGAAGAGCATAGAAAGAAAATAATCGAAATGTCTGATAAGTGGCCATGGGAGAAGAAACTAAACATTGCTTTCTTCCGAGGATCAAGAACAAGTTCCGAGAGAGATAATTTGATTCGATTGTCCCGATCAGATCCAACACTGCTTGATGCGGCTTACACAAAAAATCAAGCTTGGAAATCAGACAAGGTGAAATACATTACTTCTTATCATTCCTGTCTGAAATAACAATTAGTTGTACATAGATTTATTATTCTATAGCTCATTTAATCTCTTAGTATCTCACTGGCAATTTTGACCACTGTGGAAACACAAAGGTCTACACTATTACTTTAGTTTTACACATTTTTTAAAATTATTTTAAAAACTGTGAATCTGTTCTGTTGCTTTATGAGGTTTTTTAATGTTACTGCCTGTCGATTTAGGCTATAAAATTCACACTTATTAAATATTTTTAGTTTTTATGGTTCTTTAATTAATAATTTGGTCATTACTGGTCATGGCACACCCAACACTGAAGATGGCTAAGTGCCGAATCACATTGGATCTCACTCCCAGCGAGGATTGGTATACCAAAATATTGGTAATGACTGAATTACAGGTTCACCTCACTGCAAACCATTTAGTGAAATTTCACAATTTTTTAATCAGTTGTACTTTAATCTGATATGTTTATTCTTGCTGAACAATGTGTGACTAAATATAGCTGTACAGCCAACACTTCTTTTTTCCCCTATACCATCACGTTTCAGTATTACCTGCATCACTTTTAATAATTTTAATGTCTCCAAAGGGAATGTAATTCGATTCAACCTACCAGTGAACTTTAACTCAATATTAGCAGACATAATGTAATATAAATTTTGATGTTTTTTTTTTATTTGCAGGATACATTGAATGCCCCAGCAGCCGACGAAATACCATTAGAAGACCATTGTAGATACCGTTATTTATTCAATTTCCGTGGTGTAGCTGCAAGTTTTAGACTGAAGTATTTATTTCTCTGTAAATCTCTAGTTTTCCATGTAGGCAACGAATGGAAAGAATTTTTCTACGACAATTTGAAACCTTGGATTCATTACATCCCTGTCGACAGTAATTATACTCAAGAGCAGTATAAGTAAGTCTTAAACTCAAGTCTTTAATTTTATAATGAATGTGAATGCCTTATAAAATTGCATGCATTCTCAAATTGCACAGTTGTGTTTTAAGTTAACACCAACTATTGGACAATATTAAAAAAAATCTAATTAATTAGAAAGTGTAAAGGAATAAATTAAAGGCAAGGTAGAAAAACTCAAAATTTATTTGTTTTGAGTTTAACACCTTTTCATTAAGCAGTTTTTCTATTTTTAATATTTTATAATGTCTCACACAACCATTATGTGAAAAAGATTCTGGTATCATAATAAAAAACAATGTTATCATATTTGCCTGTTCAAATTACATTTATATTTTTAATTTACTTAATATCTTTTCTGCAGGAAATTGCTGTTGTTTGTCAAACATGAAGAGGAAATTGCAAAACAGATCGCCGAAAGGGGTTATAATTTTGTTAAAAATAACTTGAAGATAACTGAAGTGATCTGCTACTGGAAAAAATTACTTCTAGCTTACAGTGCATTACTGACATTTTCCCCGGTTTTAGATGATACACTGGCCAATGTAACTACTTAAATCATATGCTGTGATTATTTTTAAATAAATTTTATAATAAAACCAAGAACAAAGTGTTAGCTTGCAAATTTTTCTATGCAAAACAACCTTGATCTGTACTGTCAGTTGTGTTCAATCAATTCAGAACGTTGTTGAGATTAAAAAAAAAAAAAAAGCGAAGCTTGCTTGTCGACAATATTTGTGCAGTTCACTTTATAAAAAAATTTCGAGGTTATCCTGTGACTTGGTGATTTTCTCTACTTCACGGAAAAACATTGAATCATGGATACATGCTATCTATCATTCTAAGTGCAAATGCAACTAAATTTGTTTGTAAGTGTAAGGTAAGTTAAATGTTGTACATTAAAACAATTCTGTCAAATTTATTTATTTCGATTGTCCTTTTAATTTTACAAAATCTGTTAATTTCTCTAATCTCTTTTAAGCTAATATTATTGTCTCAAATAGGTATAAAAACAAACTGTTGTATCTGTTCAGCATGCAAGTCGTACAGAATACTTATTCTAAAAAATATATATATATTACATAACATATGTAAACTCATTATGCAATGGATAGTCACATTATCAAAAATAAAATAGTTAAATATTATGTTTATTTAAGGAGAAAAAAAGAAAAAAAAAAGGATCTTTGAGAGAAGTATGGTGAAAATTATGGCTCTTTACAAGAGAATAAATTAGATACCAAACTTTAGATGAAAGTTTAAAAAATAATTATAATTGTTCAAGCTATATGTACATTCAGAAGCTACTATTTTGGTAATTATATACAATATAAAAATGCAATACTATAAAAAAACAAATAATGCTCATGCTAAAATGTACTGAGGAAATTGATACAAATTATTTATTTGGAAAAGTAACCACATCTGTTAAGCAATTTTTTTGCTGATGTTTTGTCATGGATTCAATTTCTAAAAGGCGATTAGAAATTTTACTGAAATTTATCGAAAAATGTAATTATTTAGGAAGAAATGTCTTAATAGAAAGAAAACAATGATTAAAACCAGTGAACTATAAAGAGATCATATTTCCAATCAGTCAATAATTTTTACTTGATATATTGAGTTCAATTGTAAATTTATTTTAACAATACAAAAATAACATTTAATTTGAATTTTTAACATTGTTAATTTTTCATGGGTTAACCTTCACTATTCTCCACCGATGCTATTTAAGGAATTATCATTTGATTTATTATAGAAACAAGCCCTATTTTAACTCCAAAATCTTTGAATTTGATTTGTTTTTTTATTTAATTGCAAAAGTTTTGTAGTCTAACTAAGATTAATGTATCTGTAAATGTATTCTGTTCGCCAGCATTTACAGCTCCCTGGAATAAGAAACCAGTCATAGTAAAGGCGTACCTACAAAAAAATAAATTAATTAATTAAAAAAAAATAAAATAAAAAAAGTAATATTAATAAAAAATAAGACATGAAAAGTGTTCGTAATGACAAAAACTGAGACTGTGACTGCTAAGTCTCTTCATTTTTTATTGCGTTGTTTGTTTTTGTTACACTAAATTCAAATTTTATTAGTATGGCAGGGTATGTTCTTTTATGCTTGAATTATAGTTGTAGTTTGTAAAACCGTTATTTGAAATTTGAAAAAGAGACCTCTTGCACTGGCATATTGTGCCAATCTGTAATTTTACAAGCAAGGAATTTTTATTTCTAGTGAAACAGTTTGAAATTTGAGAATACAAACAAAAATAAGAGAAAGTGCTATAATGTCGCTTATATCATAAGCATTTGTTCTATCATGGTTTACAGTTTAGATGGTTGAAAAATTAAAACCAAGTGTTTTTTGGCATAATTTTTATTTTATTTTTTATTATAATGGATATTTCATGCTCATCTGCCTATCCTCAGCAACCCTGAGCTTTGTTACTTTATCTTTTTGTTGACTTTACAGGCTGAGGATGAACCACTGAGCCTGAAATGTACATTATAATACAAAATATATTTTATAAGGTGCTAAATAACTTTTAAGAGGGTGAAGACCAAAGTAAACTTTTTTGCATATTATAGCAACACAGTCTACAACAAAATAATCCCTAAACTCTGAACAGTTCTACAATATAAAATAGTGACACATACTTTAGTATTTTATTGTTTTTTATAAACTAGTCTCAATTACCTGATAACAACCGTTTTTGTCAATGCCATCACATTGTGTTTGTTCTTCTTCTTCAATTGTGTCCTTAGTTTTATAATAGCTATACGCTTGACTGTCCTGGACACCATTGTTTTGGGATTCTTCTTTAACTGGTCCAGATAAACCATTTGGGTAGAATATTTCCGCAACGAGTAAGCTCACCCAACGAGGCGATGATAAGCATTTCCCTTCCATATAGTGGCACCTTGTATTTCTGCAATAATATTTTAAAGATTTTTATAAAATGCAAAGTATACCATCTGATTGATAAGAAAGGTATTGTATCAAATATCAGGAATATATGTTATATAGTTTTTATGTTACAAGTGCTACAGTGCTACAAGTGACTGTGTTGTCTTTATAGAATTTTGGTTAGTTATACTACTATCACAACAATCTTCACTTCCCTAAATAGGAAGGAAATCACAAGGATATTGGTGCTCTAGGCTCTTAGAGGATTGTCGGGAAGGGTTTGGGATGAAGGGCTGAGACAAGGGTTTCATGAATGCATCTGTATCAACTTCTTGTGGTTTCAAGGACAAATGGTATTTGAGGTCTGTATGAATACAAAGTCGGGAACTTGGACAATGGTTCGAAAGATTTTGTTCTGGAGAGACTGTATTCTTTGGAGGTTGGAATGCTTGGTTGAGCCCCACTGTTCAATTTTGTTAATCCAGATTAGTTTTAATAGTGTTATTGTCAAACAGTCTTTTGAGTAGTTCAGTTCTATAATATTAAGTTTTTTATGCCTGTCCAATTGGTTACAGGTTTCAAGTAAAGTCCCAAATAATGGACAACATTGGTTGCAGTGAGTGGAACAGAGTTGTAGTCAATTGGTGAAGAGGTGATCCAACAAAGAGTGATGTCATTTCCTGGGATTTGGTGTCATTCAGTCTGACCCTTCTTTTCTTTTACCACTTTTACAAACTAGAGTTCGGGGCACAAGATGTCACTGAGTCTGGGTTTGCTGAAAGAATGGCAGTATCATATGCCTAGTATCAGGATTGAAAGGAATGCCTGTAATGTATATTGAATAGAGAATGGGAATGAGGATGTTGCCTTGCTGAACACCACTTCGCATAGATGATGAGGAAGAAGGATGTTCCAATTTGAACTTGAATATACTCATCAGACAGGAATTTAAGAGGAAGTAATAAATGAAGGATGCAGTTGAGTTTTTAAAACAAACGATGCTGCCACACTAGATTGAAGGCTTGCATCACATCTAGCAGCATTCTTTCCGCTCAAGTTTAGTGATAGAGTGGTGTCACCTGAACCAGAATTGATACGATAGAACGACACAAGCTTTAAATGATGGGATGTAGGTATTTAAGGAGGAATTTTGCAAGGATTTTGACAAGTAATAGCAGCTAACCGATGGGGTGATATGACATAGGAAGAAGATGAGATTTTTGACATTTAGTCATTGGTTTTGTGAATACCATATTGGATTGGGAAATAGTTTTAATGACTGAGTTGTTAAAAAATACCTTTGATATAAAACTTACAAACATTTTGTCACTTCTACTGTTTGTGTAAAGTAGCCTTCGTATGGAATTTGTACGACATATCTCCAAATGCCTTTGTAATTTCTTGCAAATACTGGTGTGGCGTATTCAATTTTAGCTGGGCAAGGTGTTGGAGGTCCATCCAATGGCATCTCATCCAATGATATGTCTTCCTTCCTTTCTTTCATTTCTAACCCAGCCGACTCTCCTTGTATTGCTCTGTAGAGTACGCATACCCTAAAATGTGATTAAATACAATAAGGGCTTTATTTATTAACGAATCTATGTTAAAAATATTAACATACATTCCTTGTCCATTTTCACAAAATTTTCTTGTTTTATTCAATATGTCACTCGGATCGGAAAAGAAATCACCGATGATTTTAAAAGTCCCTTCTAAGCCTGTTTTATCTTCCCTCTTAACACGAGTTGTATGTGTGCTAGAAATTTAATTCCATTAATAATCTGTTTACAGCTTAGAAGAGAGTTCCATACCTCTGTGGGGTTTTAGAATAATAAAAATGCTTTTCATTCGCATTGTAATTTATCACCTTTGGTATAGTTTCATCATTCTGGAGAATAGGAAGTGTACGGCTAAGAAACTGCAGTGTCTTATTTGTTATTAGTTCACTGAAAATATTGAGTTATTGTTTTACAATAAGAAATAAATGATCATACACTTTAATAGATACTGGGTATTGCAAGCTGAATTTGTTTTATTTCCAATATAAACCAGTTTATAACTTACAATGGATATGGCATTCCTTCTATAGTCTGGTTCATCGGGTTTTCAGGAATAAATCCTTTGTTAAGATCCCCGCATAAATTTGTCAACGATTTTCCAGGAGCGTACGGCTTATCTGCACCTGTCAATGCAACCAATATCAAAAATTCAATTTCGTATTGTTTTCATTGATATAAAACCATCTTGCAGCATTTATGTGGCCTTGAATTAAATTATTATACCTATCTATTACAGCCAAACTAATTTTAATGTATAATAGTTATAAACAAAGTAATATTCTATAATATTATGACGACCACGACTGAACACAGCATGCTGTGCACCACTGATGTTTTCGGTCACATCTTTAAAGCAATGCTTTCAGCAGTCAAGAGCGAGTGTAGAAGAAATGGAGGGGTAAGTGATTCTATAAGAGCAGTCCCAACTGTCCCATGGTATTCCAACCAGGAACTTCAGCAGTAACTTGACCTTTTACACTCCAGAGCCCTCAACCAAGAGCATCGACCTAGTGGATTAAGGCCTCAATTCACTCTCTTGGTCATCTGCGATTGGCCTCTCAATGATTCTGTATAAAATATCAATTTGTAACAGTACTTTTCAGGACCATCCCAACCAGCCACTGAAGTAGTGATTGGCCGACATGAAACTTCTTTGCGTACCTTAGTGACTGAGTTATTGATCTCAACACCATACAGCACATCATGGAAGATGAAGAAAACAACCCACACCACCAGATTATCCCTGATTGTAATACCAGCTTTCTGGAAATTCAAACTGCAGTTATGGTTTGCCCAACTGGAAGCGTCGGCTAAAATAAAATCGGGTTTCAGTAAGTTCCACCTGATGGTAGTCAACCTGCCACATGACATTTTGGAGCAGACATATTACCAATCCCAGGACCAGATGCCTATGAAAAGCTACGAGATAGGCTCTTAACAACTCATATGGAGTCAGATCATTTCAGGATCCAGCCACTACTCGTACATGACCTGGGTGATCTAAAGCCATCACAACTGTCATGCAACACGCGCAACTTAGCTAGTGGTTTCTTAACAGCTCTTAACAATCTCAGAGTTCCTAACCATCCCTCAGAGTCGTTGGCCAGACTGATTGAACAGGCCAAATCAGAAGAAACTTTTTTCATACTCTGGGAAGGACGAATGCTACTATCATGAATCATTTGGTCCACTTGTACAAATACAAACAGTGAAACGGCAATGGGCAGTAAGAGAGGCAGCTACTGTTGTACCCCATACAGCCTGGATGTAATCTCTGTAAGCTGCAATTTCTATCATCCAGGTCTAAGCAAGGCAAGCCTAGGCTGGATGACTACTGACTATATACTCCAAATAGGAAGCAAATCTACATATACAGCAATGCTTACAGGCCAGTGGTGTTTAACTTGCAAAACCATTTTCCTCATAATTCATCTTTGATGATGTCCAAAAACCAATCATTGGCAGCAAACTTTCTAACCAGGGGGCTAATGGTTGACATATAAGGTAGGTAGCTTATTGTCAAATACACTGGATGAAATTCACTCAGTTGCACTGTGTGTGATTCTCCAATTCTCCTCACCGTTCCCTGTGACATTACTTATGAAAGGTGTACTTAGCAAAGGTGCAACGGCTCTCACCAGAAAAGTACACCGCGGCAAAAGAAGAATTTCATGGATGGTGGTGCAAGGTATCTGCTAACAATCCAAGAGTGCTTGGTCTAGCCCACTACACCTCATAGCCAAAAAAGATTTTACTTACCATCCTTGTGGTCGACTTACGACTTAAAAACTGCACCACTCCCGATTGCTATGGGGTGCCCAACATAGCTGAGTTACTGTTTTCACCTCCTTGGACTTGGAATGGGCATATCACCAGATCCTCATAACAGAGGTCGATACCCCGAAGACAGCCTTCACTAAACCTTTTGGCCTTTTTGAATTGACCGAAATGCTTGTGATTACAGAACACCATAAAGACGTTCCCTATCAAGCAGTTAAATAAAGAATTATACTGTTTTCTTTTATTTTTACTAAGTGAAGGTTAGGTTAAGTGGACAACTTTTCTTTAAAGTCTTTATTCAAAAGAAACTGCACCATGTTCTCATGATTTGGTGTGAATTCGTTGTACGAGATTCACTTTAAAAATCTCCTTTCATTTTGCCCAAACAGTACAAATTTTCTTCCAAAAATAATAATTTTTTATGTTTACCCAAAATGACCACTTAACCTAACTGGTTTGGGGTTAGGTCAAGCGGTCACAACCTGCCCGGTGGATTAATAAACCAAGTTATCAGAAAAATAACTGACATGCTGTGAAATTTTATTTATTTAAACATTAAAAAAACATTTATTAAGTTCTGAGAGATTATTAAAATTGAAAAATAAATAAATAGGTACGTATGTAATAGCATAAATTTATTTATGAGGTTTCAGCGCGAATTAATTCTGTCAGATCAACGTTAAAGTAAATCGCTCCTTGAAAACGGGTTCTTATTCTTCAATGGACGTGGCAGTTACTAGGTTTTAACCCAAAGGATTTTCCCTTGGTTTCAAAAAATCTGGTAGAGGGAAACATCCGTTTATAAAATATAACATTGGCTCCTTCTATTAACGTCGTCATCCTTAACCGTTTCTCTATTTTTGCCAGGAAGTTTGAGCTTATGTCCTCCTTTTTCACTCAGACCACGAGGTCCCCAGCTTTTATCCCTTCACACTCAACGGTTTCCTATTCACTAAAAGAATAAGATCCAGATTCGTGTACAGAAAAGTGGTCGTCGTCATCAGAAGATGACTCAAAGGCTGAGCTACTTTTTACGAGCGATTTTCCTTTTGGCCTCCTACGCTCTTAATCAGTCGATTCAGTGAGAACGGACGTTGTAAAATTCACCCAAGTCGAATTATCCATCGGTTCTACTTCTTAGGATGAAATTAAGATTCTCAAGAGCGCCCAATTCCAATTCTTAAGCCGTGCACGATCCACCAAATAACGCTTGTACCGACGAATGCGACAAGGTAAGAGGATTACATTCTATAAACGTATCGTAAATATCCGTTAGTGGCCGAAGTCGTAAAATGTTACTGTTTGACTGCCAATTCTAAATAAAGACAACATGTGATTTAAAGCCCAACACACTCAAAAAACCGGACAGTTATATTTATTTGTTTATTTTCCGTAATAACAAGGATTAATGGGGATGATTAGGTGAACTCACTACATAAAAACATAAAATTCACCGCAAAAATAGAAACAAACAACAATATAAATTTTACAGACCTAGCAATCATAAAAACAGACGACAAGTGACAGTCGGGCATATTCAGAAAACCAACAGCAACTGACATCATACTTAGCTAACTTAACTACTTAACTTGGTAACCACAGGTGGTCACCACACATCCTTTCGAGAGCCAAATTGTCCATTTATGTTAATTTAAAAAAAAATTTTTTTCTTTGATAAAACAATAAATTTGAGTAAAAAGTAATTAATAATCTTTTTCCTTAAAACCATGATTTCAAATCGAGAAGATCTCGCTCGGGCAGGTGCTTTGGCCAACGACGGACGTAGCGTCTGTTGCATGCCAAGGCCGCACTCTACCATCCATGATGATCTACAGCACCTTAAGGCCACCGGAAATCTCGATCGAAGAGAAGCTAATAGTCGATCGCGTTGTACGACGGTTAGAGACGACAGTTTTATTGCTCTTACCGTCATTTAACGGCTTCCTTGGTAGGTAATTAACTACCATCCAAAGATGGCCTCTAAAACAATCATCAGAAGGCGACGTATATAGCCTAGTATCTAGACATACCGCATTAGGTTCTCTACTACAGAAGAGACACCGATTTGAAATTCTACTGCTGGCAAATCAGCATCTCGCTTGGTCACTTAAATAATGAGGGACTGTTCTCTTCTCAGATGAGTGTCGGTTTGGTATGTGGTAATCGGATGACCGGGACCGTGTGTGGAGAATGCATGGTTAATGTGTCGAGCGTGAGTGCCTTTTCAGACAGTGATGGTAGGGGGTGGAATGAACCATGCCCGCATCGAACCGAACATCATACACAATGGATCTTTGATTGCACTAAGTTACTTTGAGGAAGTTCTTCTGGAAGCTGTGATGCGATTCGCTCCATTTATTGGGGACAACTTCGTGTTAATGCATGATAATGCTCGACCGCATGTAGCTTAAGTTGTCACCTATTTCTTGGAGAATGTAGGGTTTCTCGGAGGAAGTAGGGATTATCACAATGAATTTGCCAGCACTTTCTCTTCAACCACAAAAACTGTGAGACATTCATTTCTTTTCCTCCTATTTTTTTTACAAACACCATTTTCAGAAACGATGTAAAGTCATTTCTTTTGGAGGGCGGGCAAAAGGTGTTTTGAGAATATTTAAACGAGGAGGATTTAGGCTGAAGATTTCTTTACACTTTCATAGAAAATAGTTCACCATGTATCAGTCCAGAGAGATAGAAAAGACGCAGTCAGTTTTTCCTTTATCGTGACCATTTTCGCATTTCCATAGGCATGAGTTTGGTTAGGTTAGGTAGCGAAACAGGGCGTTTACACTGTTCGCTATGTAGTCGAGATACGTTGAAGGATGTGAAAATGTGGGTATTCAACAACACACTTAGGTCCAGAAATCCAATTAAAATTTCAAACTGCTACAAAAAATAATAATTGCCCGTCAAATGAAAGACTTGTATTTGGTGGAATCACGCCATAGGTCAGTGGCGGGCAAAAGATTTATTGTTAGCAGAGAAAGTCTCTCCTAAACTTGTAGGAGATTGTCGATAACAATTAGGCATGTTCTTGATGGTAAATATCTAGCACAATATGTAAGAAACAAATTTTATTTTTAATACAACTTTATATTTGTTGTGAATATTTTTTGAATATCGGGATCGGGGTCGTTACAAACATTAATAATTATTGTTTCAACGTGATTTTTGTAGACGACAATATAAAAAAAAACCACAAAATTTTTACAACTAGCTCATCGCATGCAGAGTAAATAGGTCGCAAGCTGATCCATGCTAAGTGAACGAAGCTACTTACTTTGCAATTTCAACTTCTAGTCGTACGCTATCGCAACGCAATATAGGCAGTGTAAATCGGCCCTTAGGGTTAGAGACTGGTTAGATTTAGTACAGTTATGGACGGGTTTGGTCACATATACACGATTCAATGTTTTTCCTTGATGCAGAGGAATCTAGATAACCAAATCGACAGCGATCACGGGAAAAGCTGATGATAATCTCATGTCTTCTTCAAGAAAAGACTGGAAAATGAACATATTTCTACTAAATATGACAATTCTTTCAAATCACCTCCATCAACTCGGTGCAGCTAAACTGAAAGCCAGGATTAATGGATAATTGGGAAGTTAGAAAGGTAGAAAAAACATCCATTCAGCGCAGGCAAATCAGCTTCCACATGCAGAAACTTGAATATCATAACAGTTTCAACTCACTGAGCAACATCAATTTAATTTTAACATGGATGTGCTTTTGGGCTAGATAAAGTTTTATTGCGCGACCATTTTGTCATCTATTTCTTGTAACCGGGGAGTACGCATCGGTTGGTTTAGGTTAGGTGAGATAAAATAGGTTAGATTAGGTAGGGTAAGGGTTAGGATAAGGCGTTAAGATATCGTAAAGAGGAGGCTATATAATTTTGTAGATTGACGGCGGGAAGAAGAAAATGATGGACATTACTTGAAATCAGACTGACTATATGCAGCTAGAAAGAAAGTCTATTTGTGAATAGAAAAAGTCCTAATTCTTACTCATGGAAAAATGGTTGCATTTGGACTTTGGCTGAAGGCTGCCAAATTTCCAAACCTTTTCTTCCGGCAGTACTTATAATTTTTCTTTATGTTGTATTTAGAGAAAGTTAAAGACGAACAGTACCTGGACATCGTAGCGGAGATTTGTAATACGGGGGGTGTTTCACTTTCGGCGGATTTGCTGACCCGGCTTCAAGAAATTGGTAGTATCCTTCGTTGTTCTCTTCTGAAGTCGCATCGACCTTTCCACCTTTGTTTCTTAAAGGATCCTTTAGCAGTGAAGACGCTATACATTTTTTGCTCACTACTATTGCACACTGTAATAGATATAATTGACTTAAATAAAAAAAGACAAGTGCTGGAAAATAAAATACAATTGGAAATCAAAGCACAAATCACTCGAAATAAAATTAAAAATTAAGTTAAACGCTCCAACATCAATGTAAAACACACGAAAGTAGGATAAGTGAGTCATATGAAGAAAATCCAACTATCTCTACCGCTGACACGTCTGATTTCACTCTTCTGAATAAACTTCACTCGTACTTATTTGCAAATTAGTAGATAAAAAAAGGAGCAAAAAAAATATAGAAAGTAATGTTGAGATTGTAATAGTTATTATTAGTTTTATTTGAAAATAATATTTATTCGCAACTGTATTGATATGTAAGTTGGTAACGCCGCTACTACGTCAGGAAGGCAACTATACTAAGGTTTAAGTTAGCAACATGGCTAGTCCTCAGGCAGGCAACTATGCTGAGACGTAAGTTGGTAACGTCGCTACCACCTCAGACAGGCAACTATGATGAGGCGTAAGTTGGTAATAATGCTACGTCCTCAGATAGGTAACTATGCTGAGGCGTAAGTTGGTAACGTCGCTACCAGCTCAGGCAGGCAACTATGATGAGGCGTAAGTTGGTAACATTGCTACCACCTCAAGTAGACAACTATGCCTAAGTGTAAATCTACTATACTATAATTGCAAATCAGTAGAAAAAAAGGAAAACAATATTACAATAATTTACAAAATAAAGAAAAAAATTATATAAAGTAATGTTTATCATGAGATTCGAAATTTTATCACAACCAACAAAATTGAAAAATACGATGTTTTCACATTCGTTACTTTTACATAATGCCAATGTATATAATAGTTTATATTTTATATCACAGTATCGTTTATCTTTTGTAGTTTATTATTGATCTTATTTATATGTTTTGATCAATAAATAAATGACAAAGGGCAGGCCATAATTTTATCTTAAATAGAGATTGACACATTGACTTATTAAAATACTACTGAAGACTATTTCTTTTTCGGTTAAATGGTCATAAGCCTTACAAGAAATCATATTTTCTTCATTCTTAAGCGGGTTTTGGTTTAAGAATATCCATTGTGTTGTACATTTTACGATTAAGATTACAGTTTCTGCTCAACCGGTTTGCTTCCTGTATTCTCAGGTTGAAGTAGTGCCTTTTAAATTATACATTTTATAAATATGTGGATTTTTTTTTTAAACATGGGCCATGGAGCCACCGGTCTACTCGCCTGGAAGTTTACAATAATCGAAAGGAACCGAGAAGAGAAGCCGTTAGTCTTTTATAACGGGAGATGGGTCAAGGACAAATCGCTTCACAAAGATAAAAGGATAAAAAGAACACAAACTTTGCCGGTTGACACATTACTGTGTATAATTTTTATATTTGGTGATCGTTGATATCGAAAATATAATAACTCTTAAGGGACTACTGCTTTGAATATACAGTTAACTCAATGAGGTCGAGTTTAAAAAAAATATATATACACCTTTTTTTTTTGAAAATTGTAAATCCAATGAGTATTTAGAATTTCCTGTTTTGGGGAAAATATGTGTGGCTGGGCAATGAAGCATCTCCATACAACACATATCGCTATGTCCAATGCATGCAAAAATTGTATAAAACAAGATTTTGACCAGTTCCAAAACTGGAAATATTCCTTATTACTAATCGGCTTAAAAGATAGCATCGGATAATAATAAAACGATGTACTTACCGCAATAACAAGAATAAATTTCATGGTCTGTCTGCGGTCGGATGATGCACTCCACGTTCTGAAGAACCACTTCCCCCCACTAGTGGCGAATAGCCTGAATTGGGCACGCAGGAGCCTCCGCCTCGCGATATACTATACGCAAGACTGAAAACGGAAACAGGAGACGTGGAGGGAAACAAATTTTCCACCGCAAATAATTTCCAAAATCTCTCGATCGTCCATGAAATATTAAATCTTATTTAGCACAGTTGTATATGTTTCGACGTGAAAACTGGCGGTTTTAGTCTCCGCCACCCTCATCTGTTGTAAGGTCCAAAAGCCGCTTGATAGATTGATCCGACAAAATGAACCTCCATTACGAGTGAATGGCATAATGCTACCTTATTTCATTATTATGGTCCAAAACGAGAAGCACCTGCTGGGTTGTCAAATATTGAAGAGGAAAACCGAACTGATGACCTGGGAGAAGGTTGAAGGCGTTCAATGTAGGGATCAACCGTTCAAAAAGACAGGAAGTAGGCTGGACGTTAGGAAGAATTTTTGGTAAACATTTCGGGAAAATAGTACTATTAATAGTGTTGAGGGTATTCCATTTGAGTGCTTCTTAGTTTTCTTAAGTGATGACTGCCTGTGACTTACTGAAGTTTCCACCTAGCAGTCCTTCGTCAATGTATCCGCGCAGATGATCAACACTTCTTTTTTTAAGCAGGGGCTCAAACAACTTAAATCAGACTTGTCAAGCAAGTATCTGCGGTGATTGTCTGTGCTTAACTAAAGTTTCCATTAGACGTCATCACTACTTAGATAATGCTTATGTTTTCCAAAGGCGCAGATGATCATACAGAACTCCTTTTTTAAGCAGTGGCTTAACCGACTTGAATCAAGCATCTGCGGTTAATTAGTTTTCACTAGGAGTCATCACTACTTAGATAATGTTCTGCATCCTAAACAGCAATGCATCATGCAGTACTTCTCTATTTAAACAGGGGCTCAACTGACTTAATCAGACTTGTTAAACATGCATCTATGGTGACTGCGGTTAACTCAAGTAGAAACTAGGCATCGCCACTGCTTCAGGAATGGTTACGCGTTCTAGGTAGCAGCCAATGAGCTTGCAATACCTCTGTATGTAAGGTAAACTGCTTACGCAGACTCATTAAGAATTAGTGAATAAGTACTAGCCATCGACCACTCACTAATAGAGCAAGCCGTGTCAGTAGCTCCTCTGAACACCATCACTTATATGGTCAGCAAAAATCCCATTTACTAAACAGAAGCCACAACAACTGGTCGTCTTAAAAGCTCGTCCTAATCTTGTCAAATCAAGCTTATGGTGGATGGGCTTCTCTGTTTTCTTTTATCAAGCAGGGCTTAAAATAGAATTGAAATGATTATAAAAGCAGATTCTGACCTTAAGCCATAATGTTCAAGGTTGAAGGTCTTGTGCATAGATCTTTGGCTTTTGTGGAAGAATAAAATTACGCCCGTTATAGTAACTGTTTTGGCCGACAATCCTTGCAACGGCAGCTTGTTCACCTAAAATTATAGGTGAAACATGCCTTAACCCGGTTTTTACTGTAATTTATTTTAAGAAATTAATAATAATAAAGAGGATAAGTGGCATGATCGACCAAGCGTTGCATTTTTTTTTTTAAATAACAGACTCGCCGGTGGACGGACATTCTGTGTAATGACCGACGCGGCGTGTTGACAATTTTTATGATTAACCAGTCGGTTGACGTCCACGACGACGGAAGAACGGTTGATTATTATATATTATGATCAAATTGCCTTCCAAAGACACTTAAAGAACATCGAAAAAGTAAAAGAAGTAGTTGATGCACCATTATGCGTTTCATTATTTCCTCGGTAAAAAAACCAAGCCTTTTCTCGAAAAATATGTATGACAATTGGCGATGGTCGAGTTATCGGTGAAATGGAGATGAAAGGCCAGGATATCTGCTTAAACCACATGTACACCCTAAACAATTAATAGTGACTAGATAGTCTATAAAGTCATTCACTACTCCTTTTTGTTTAGAGGTGATGGTCTCACCTCAGTAATGATCTACTGCATTAAAATAGACCAAATGTATCCAAAATATAGCAATGGTCCTTACGGCATTCTCGTACATAGTATCCAATAAGAGCTCATGTTTCGAGACTGAATAAATTAAAAGAGCCAGGCTGTGAATTTCTTCCGCGCCAACCTTATTCTTAAGACTTGTGTACAAGAGATTTTTTAGTGTTTTTTAGGAATTGGGACAATTTCATTAAAAATTTGTTAATAATTATTCACACGTCCAAAAGCATTTTTGTGATTTTATTATTTCTCAAAACTCTGAATTTTTCAGTTCTTGAATTAAATTGGATACACAGTGGGATGATGATGAATATGGATACTAATTAGTCCTGATTTTTTGTTCCCCAAGAACAGCAGCCTCCTGGTTTATTGTCCTTTCCTAGTTCCTTAGTTCAGTGCAATCAACTTGATCTTTCTCCTAAGGAATACTAGATCCTTTCATTGCTACAATTCCTTTCCAGGATTTTTTTGTATCCCATGTTATATCTCTATTGATCAATTCTTCACATTCAAAAATGACATGGGTGGTAGTTTGTTCCTCCTCATCGCATAACCTACAAAAGGGATAATCATTGTTTATATATCATAGTGATTATATGTTTCTTCTTCTTGCTGGCATCTGGACAGGTTTATTTTGGCCCCTTCAAGTCTGTATTTTTCCAGAGACTATAGTGTCCTATTAATCTAGTCTTAAGAGATTTAGTAGCACTGTTAATTTCTGCAATATGAATCAACTCTTTGCATGACTAGTTTTTTAATGCAATATCACCAAACTAAAAACTTATTCTTAAACCAATCTCTCATGGATATACATTTTTGGCCATTTGTTATGCTGCAAAAGGGTTCAGGGTTGATATGTGTCATTGAACTTTCCTTGGCCACTTCATCAACATCCTTGTTGCCCCACTGCCCTGGTTCGAAATAAGAGTAATTTTTGTTGTCTCCAATGTCTGACAGGGCCTTGATGCACTTCCAAACAGCTCTGAACTTTACTACCGATGAGGTACTTTAGAGCCACCTGGCTTTCCGAGTAAAAGCCTTTTGTTGGTAATACCCACCCTTTGGATCTTTCTGGCCCAGTCTGGGCCTGAAAGACTGTGTGGGAATTTCAACTAAAAACTCATTTATTCATCAGACAGGAATTCATCTTGGAATTGCCAAAAGGCATTTGGATGTTGCCTCTACTTAGCCTTGATGTGTTCTTCTGTGCTACAATTTTCCACTATACACACCTGCTTTTTTTTTCTTTTTTATGACACCCTGTAAAATTTCTATTATACATTTTTATTCCAATTTTCCCTCATAATCTGTTAAATCACCATAAAAAAATGTTCTAGGTTCCACTGTACTACAGGTCTTGGCAAATAAAGTACTTATACTGTCTTAACTATACATCTATTTTAAATGTATCATTTGTTGCTATTATATCCATGCATGAAAGTAACTGACAATGATCTATGAAAAACATTTAATAGTTGATGGTGACTCGAGTCAGTGAACACATCTTAAACCAGCATTCGGTCACTTACTTGGTCTACACTCGCTGGTTTTGTTGCTAGAATTATCTAGTAGTCTGTGTTGTGTCCAGACAGACAGTTCCTCACTGAAGATGGCACAAAAATATAAGGAATTTGGATGTAAATAATGATTCCAAAATAACGAATAATGTTTAATAACAAATTAAATATAATAACAATTTTTTTATACACTTACATTATTCTCATTTTCTCAGATCATCACATCATTCAAGATAAACAATCAACACATTATTTTACCTTCCAAAAATTTAATATTTACAAGAGATTTTACATAACTTATTTATTACAAGGTTTGCCAAGCCTTTAACAATGTAGTATGTTTCACATAAGATGATATCTTTATTTTCTTTTTATTTAATAATCAACAATTAATCTAATCGATACTAAATAAAAGGTTATGGACGGAAAATAGCCAACAACTTGAATAAGTTAAACAAAGCACTCTAAGTTTTACACCCAATAAAATAATATTGTACCCACTTATTTAGGAAGCAAGCTATTTTTAAAAAATAAATAATACTGGTATTAGATTGAAGTTAAATCATTAATTCGTCAATTAAGTTTGTTTAAAAAGAGTAAAAAATAACAAAAAATGTGTCTCAGCATACAACAGCATAAAAATCCGTTTTTGTTATTTTTTTTCGCTAATAAACCAAATTATGATCAATTTTGCACACACTGGCTATTTGTTATATGTATATAATTAAATGTGTTAATAAAAAAAACTTGATAGAAAAGCCTGCTAAATGAGACATTATAAATAGGATTATACTGTTTTACTTTTAAGTGTACAATTTCATAAGTGTTTTTTTTCAGGCTTCATTCCGATAAATGTAAAAAAAAAATTTATACTTTGCAGTAAATGTCAGGATAGTTTGAGAGATGATCTAATAAGTAGATGGCTCCTCACTTAAAAGCACTTACAATTATTCACAACATGTGAATTATAATGTTTTTAATTAAAAGCATTGCAATTTGGATTTACATTTTTTAAATTTGGACGTTCAGTTAATAATCAACAATTTACAAAGACGTAGTGTTTTTTTAAATGAATAACACCTTTCCATTGGAACCTAAATAATGTTATTGTAACATTAAATACAGCTCAACAGGTACTATGATAGTGACTTTTTAAATTAATTTTTATAAGATACAATACTTATACAAAGAAAAAAAAGGATAATTTTCTTATGTATTTGTTTTAATACTTCATTGATTCATTATAAAATAATTATAAGATGTACTGACATTATGAATTTAGCTTATTTACATTTAGTGTACAAACTTATAAAACTTAAAATAAACACGAGTGTATAGCTAATGTTTTTTTGTGCATTTCTTTAATAATTCATTAAAGTTAAATCTCTTTTTATGAAAAGAATATTCAGCATTATATTTACTAATTTACAATACACATTTTAATATGTATTTTATTTACATTATTAACCTAAGCAAACATTAATGCTTACTATTGCTACATGATTGGCAACATTGAGTTTGGTATCTATACATGCGGCACATATTCATGGCACGTATATTTTGGCAATATTTGGAATGATCTGTGCATTCAGAGTCTGAAAGCATAATAAAAATAGTAACATTACAATTTATTCTCAATTCTGTCAATCTGCACAGGGCATCTAGGACTGATGAAAAAAAAAATTACAAACTAATTTACTAAATATGCCCAAACATTTTATCTTTTAAACATATGAAAGTATAAAAAAGCATTATTGAAGGATTTGTAATAAGTAAATAGGGTATCAGGCTACTCGCATCACAAACTTTGCCAGTGAATTTCACACCTCAAATACGACAAAACAATTCATATGGACCATGGTCCGATTCTCAACCCTTTCACAGATATTCAACATTTTATGATTTTTTCCAACTATATACACTTTTTGTCAAATCTACAGTAGCTCTTGTTCTATTAATATTTGGGGAAATCCAGAAAAAACATTGAAAAGAATGTTAAATTTCCTTTAAGAAGAACTTTCAATTTAACTTTTGGTAAACAAAAACAAACACTAAATCTTTGAAAACTGCTAAATTTAAAATTTGTACAAAAATTAAATTTTCAACCTTATTGGAAAAATTCACGGTGGAGCTTGTCAAATTTAACACTCTTTTCAATGCTTTTTTTTTAATTTCCCCAAAACGCATAATTCAAGAGATAAGGGAAGATTTATGATGAAAACTGCTGAGAATTGAATACTGCATAAAAATTGAATATATGTAAAAGGGTTGAGAATTGAACCATGGTTCATATGAACTTTTTTGTTGCGTTTGAGGTGTGAAATTCACAGGCAAAGTTCATGATGTGAGTATTCTGACACCCTTTATATTAGTTTTTTTTTATATGGTTATTGATAATTAAAAAAGAGAAAAATGGTTGCTACAGTCAATTGGAAATCATATTTGATCATAATATATTGATATTGGAGTTTCTTTGATTTAATAAATATGCAATTTAAAATGCAAGCTGTTGTATATAAATGTATGTAATCATTTTGTCAATATATTAGAAACCCTGTGCACCTTATGAATATATTTTAGTGCATCATTTCATTTCTGTAAACCTGTTTTTATTATTATTATTATTATTATTTTTTTAGGTAAACAGACTTCTCATCTCACAGCACACAACAGTTTAATTTTATATAATGGAGGACGTAAATTAACTGTGTTATCTATTAACTTTGTGGTTTAATTGTTTATTGTTAAACTTAATGTAAAAAAAACTGCCCTCCATTATACTACTTTAAGCAAAGAGAAAAAAAAGTACTATCAGAAAAATTAAGATTTTAAAAATTATTAGGAAAACAATTAGAAAAAATATTAAAGGCTAATTTTGAACGTTTGCAAAATAAACTTTTTAATACATAATATTGTTTTTGTTTAACTATTTACTTAATTGTACATAAGTAAGCATTCACAAATTAAAAAAAAAAGAGATCTTTTTTCACTTATCTTATTTGAAGCGGTGAACAATATGAGTATCATTGTTTAAATACTGTGCATAAAAATATCACAAAAGTTATTTTCATGTTTTAGGGTGTTTAGAAAGGATGTTTAGATATATAACGAGAAATACGGTTTGTTTGCTGTATATAAAAAGAGCAATTAAATATATTCTTGCTTGTTTATTGCTATTTTTCTTTTATTGTTTTATTTTACCATCGCCCCATTTACATTGGCTTAGTATTTATTTTTACGAGTTGACTTTTTTGAGGCAGTATTAAAAAAAGTTAACATAATTAGTATCAAAACTATATTATAATGCCTGTTTGGTGATTCTTCGTGCAGTGTCATTCAATCCCATGCCCCTGAATTTGGTCCCATCAATACTATAATACAATGTAGTTAGTTATACTCGAACCCAATTTTCAACTGGTGTGAATATATTCAGAAAAACAATAATTTACTTAATTACACTACTGTCTGTTTTGTCGAATAATTTAGTTAGTAATATTGATAATTAATTTGGTTAATCTTTGTAGCATTTTTGTATTCCCAAGTAAAAATGTGTCATAAATGTCAAAAGTTATATTAAAAAACAAAAAATAATACACATTATTACTACATAAATAAAAATTGTGATTACAATTTTGTATTAAAAAAATCAGGGATATGGCCTATTTGAAAGAAAAGAAAGTCATTTCCTTCTTCAAGCTTTCGAGGAATACATCCACTTTATCAGGACTTTAAACCTACCTGTATATGTGTGGATACTAGATGCAAAAACTACTGTAATGGTTTTGCTAATGTAAACATAAATATATTTTTTCTTTCCAAAAGGTAGATTGGGGATGAGCCCAGGAAGACAGAAACAGCATTTATTTTCTTGTCGAGCTTGCGGCAGAATATATCGCCTTCATCAGGACTTCGAAAAAAATCGTTATACTATATGAACAGGTACATATGTGGATAACGGATAGCCGGCAGAACCCTAGATGGCCTCATCCCCAATCTACCTTTTGGAAAGAAAAAAATATATTTAAACTGAGAAGGCTGATCAATCATCAAAGAAAATGTAAACATACTTAATTCACTGCTGTTAGTATCTTTAGTAAAGGCAACAGTGGTGTAGATGGGAGAATGGATAATTGGTCTATTGCCTGACCGTCCCAAGACCCTAAGCCGAACCATCAGAATTGAGAAATGTGCTCTGAGTATTTTGTGTAGAATTATTATTGGTGAATGTTCGTGGGCCACCATCATTCCAAACTTTAAGAGCAGTTGGTGGTCATTTGTGTGCAACATACAACAACAACAACAACAACAACGGCTTCCTCGGGAATCCCGCAAGGGTCTCATCTTGGACCATTTTTGTTTCTCTTATTTATTAATGATATCCATCTTGCTCTCCCTTCTGCTCAATTTTTATTATTTGCTGATGATCTGAAAATCTATTNTCTGCCTTATTTGGTTAGTAAATATGTCATTCATTTTTGTTGTTCAGTTTTTTACTCTTTAATTGTATTTTTATATTTATCATTTATATTTACCATTTATATTATTACCATGTATATAAGTCCTTATTCTTTTTATATATATTATTTGTATTTTTACATATATCATTTATATTTTTTATTATAAAATGTCTTTTTTATAGCGGATTTCGATCCATAAATAAATAAAATAAATAAATATCAAAAATTGAATTTTATTGCGGTACTCAATATTCATCTATTCAGTATCAGCTCTTCTTACACCACACATTCATGCCAATGCCTACGTAAACTTTCACCCCATGATAGGAACACAAAACTATCAGTATAATATACAATTGAATATTCCTGTTTCCTCTAAAAATCGGAACATGGGCCTAGACACTCATTGTCATGCTCAAGTAGGTTCTCATATTGGGTGGCACGCTTACACGCTCTCTACATGCCGGGCAAGTATGCGGGCTTTGGCCCTAAAGTAAGTGTTCGTTTATCAACCTCACGTTTAGGCTAACATGAACAACTACTAAAACTGCTGAAAACTGTACTGTGGACAAGTATATCACTATATTTGAAACCATAAGTTTCAGCACAGTGAATAAATAATAAATACGTTCATTTACACACACACACACACACACACACACACACACACACACACACACACACACACACACCCACACACACACACCCACACACACACACACACACACACACACACACACACACACACACACGCGCGCGCGCACAGTATCTCCCTTATATATTTTTTTATTTTCCTCGCGAATCACTGGTGACTTTTTCTCCCTTTCTTAAAGTAGTTTAGCATTTTCCACGATTCCTCTTGTTATATGTTTCTGCCTCTTCATGACAGTCGGCATGAATCTGTTTCATTTTTAAATTTTTTTAGTGGTAATTAAATACTTATTAATTCCTTAATTCTTCCTGCGAAGAAGTACAAGGAGATTTTTGTTTTTCTGGTTTGTTGAGTAACTTTTTTGACTGCATGGCCCCAAGTGAATTCGAGTGTGCAGCCATTTCTTTCTCTATCCAATTCAGTTCTACTTTGGAATGTGCCAATTTGTGGTTCTGTTCCACTGTGAGGGATGCTCTTTATTTTGCTAGTTTATCAGCCTGTTTGTTGCCTTCAATCTCCTCTTAACTGGCATAATCATAACTCATCAGCTAATGCAAAAAAAAATCCCTCCTATTCTAGTACCAGATTCTGCCTGTAATTCCTGGGATATAAGAGTGCAAGGTCAATCTACTTTACAATCCTTTTTTCTCATTATTTTCAATTAAAAAGTCTTTAACGGGATTCAAACCCAGACCTGCTAGCATGGCAAATACGAGTTGGATGGCTTAACCACTCAGCTGTTGCGGTTCTCGCATAAAACCTTAATGTGGTAAGTACATGTTAGCTAGCTTACCAACTTACTGTTTAACAAAAAGTAAAAGGAAACAATACTATTTGGCTACATTGCACATTATACTTTAAAGAAGAAGGTTAGGCTTTATTTTTCATTTTAATAATCCATTAAAATATTTGAACCTTTTTTTAATCAATAGGCGGTTGGAAACATTTATACAAATGTTGAACAATGTTGGTGCAAAAACTGAACTTGAGGCACCTTGGTTGTTGCATTGCAGGTGGCAGATTGGCAATTTGAAATATTGATGAAGAATTTTCTTTTGTTTAAATACCTATGAATAAAATGTACTAAGCAGTTTCGTAAAGCTACTGAATGAACTAAAAAATTAGGCTACTGTGTCAGTATGAAATACATGTATATTTCTTAACTTGCAAATTATTAATGATGAAGTGTATACAGTCCTTTGAAAGCTTGACGAAGGAACTAAGTGTTTTTTTTTAGGCCTTATCCCTGATTTTTAATTCAAAATTAAATATGAAAAGGTCGAGTGTCAATTATATCGAGATAATTAATAAGTATGGATTATAAGTTATAATTCAAAACATTAATTTATGATACAATGACAATAATAATCTTTAAAGTCCAAATAATAAAAAAAGTGTGGTTTTAAGAGTTAATGACTTATTGGTGGGGGGGGGGAGTCATACTTACTATCTGTACATGGCTGGCCTTTGCACATTTTCATCACAGGGGGTCGTGGAATATCGCGGCATGCGTTTCCCGCTGGTTTCTTCGTACCAAACCACACACACTGCAATATTCTATATTTGACCCCTTGCGCATCACACGCGGCTGCACACTTTAAATATAAAATTAAAATCAACAGTGATTATTATGACTTAAAAAAAAAGAAGAAAAAACTGACCTCAGACCAGTCCCCTACTTTCCATGTTCCTTTGCATTTGTCATTGAAACATTCCTGCCGGAGAATCGGTTTTGTTTGTTCATTGCAGAAGGAATCTTCAAGGATTGTGCCGTTATCTGTTTGGCAATCAGCACCTCGTCTTTGCATTGCTGATAATTATAAAAATAAATGTTATATCAAATAATTTAAAACTAATCAACTAATACTAGATTACCTGTATTGTAAGTAAAACAGCGAGCTTCTGAACAAAGTTGCCATTCTCCAGGGACCCAAAATGGGCAAATAATCGAACCACAGTTACGTTTTATCTCGGGAAATGGTAGCCCAGCTTCTAAGCAGAGCTTATTCTCAACATTATTTGTACTGTTATTTAGTTTAACTGTACAATGTGCAGTTCGCATCTAAAGTTCCAGTAAAAATAAATAAATCAAATAAAAAGAAATTATCGTTAAAAATAATTAACAAACCTGAAAACCATTTCCTCCACAGGAAATTGAACAAGGAGACCATTCAGTCATTGACCATTCGAACATTAATTGTTTATTTGTTTCTACAGTACAAAAATACATAAAATATTAATAATTTATGGGAGAAAAAATGCTTCTTATAATTTGAATTTACCTGCATCAAGAAGAGAAGGAACGTCTTCTTCGAAAGGAGGTTCTTCCCTCACTATCCGCAAACCGCTTAACTTCTGAAAACCAACAGCATTCTGCTTTCTTTATTAACAACATCCTTGACTATGGGTAATTTATAATTAAACTAATTCTTAGATTTGCTAAATATTTATAAAACCAAAGTTAAAAAAAAATTATTAATTATTGTTTCTATTCAGGAACTTATTCCCAAAGTCTTTTATGTGCTGGGTTCCTTATCCAAGAATCCAACTCAGTTCCACTGTTTTTGCCAACTATAATTTAGTTTTAGTCAAAATTGAATGAATTTAAAATTATTAATTATATTAAAAATTAATATAATTTCAATTTGAGCCAAACAAACAGAAAATGACATTTTCTGATTTTTTGAAATGTTGGAATATTCACAAACATACAAAAGCCCTAAAATATTTTATTATGCATTTTTTTACATGGCACTGTATTGTACCAAAAGGCATAATGACAGTCATTTCCCTCTTCCCAAGTTTGATATAGAAAATTCCACTACAAGGATAATATTCTACAATTTTTGTCAGAATACAGACAAGTGGGACCGACTAAGGCTGTTCTGTGCCCAGGTTTCTATTGCTTAGTATAAAAATAGTTCTACAAAAGTGCACAAAATGGGAAAGAGGTCTTTAATAATTAATAACAATATAAATTAAAATTTGCCAATAAATATCCTCTCTCTATTTTATTATGTCATTTAGCTTATAGATTTCATTTATTTTTTTTAAAATTATTATTAACTTACTACAAATAACTGAATAATTCATTGTGTTTTTAGGTGCTGAGTTAAGATAGAAATGCAAGATACAAGCATTGTAGGTGAACGTGCATTTACAAGAAACTTGTTTTTAATACCTTCTGTTTTATTATATCTTCATTCACACTCTGATATGCTTTCAATATAAAAAAAAATCGAATACAATGTAATATATTACTGTGAGTAAAACAGGAAAGAAAACAAGCTACTGTCTACTTGTTACTAGTTACAAACAATTTAGCACTGAACAAAATGTATGGATTAAAGCAAAAAAAAAAAAAAAAAAATCTGTTACGATTATCACAAATTAAGGCTAGAAAAAATTAATATAATAAACTGAGTGTTCTGCAATGTTATTTTAATCTTCACCGATATATTAGAAAGTGTGTGGTTCATGCTTATACTTTAGAAGTGTACAGTAAATTGCAATAGTGAAATTAATGCACAAAAGCGACATTGTGACTAAAATTGAAATTAGTGTTCCAGAGTCTATATCCGTTTGTTTATATTAAATAGAACATTAATTATGCCAATGGCTTAAGGCATAGGTTCTCAATTGGACATCACCGCCCTCATCAGGGAGCAAAAAAATCATTAATGGCGATCAAATGAAAATTTTGAAAAACTTAAATTATCAGTTCGTTTGGGTTGAATTAATTGAAAAGTACAGTGAAATGTTGAAAAAGGCCATTTACTAGCACAGCTTGAACAAGCATTTGATTCTTATGCTTACATAAATAATAAATACAGGAGCAAACTAGATGCAACCGTGGATTTGAGAATATCCTTTGAACCAAATTTTGCAAAACTGTGTGCCTCAATACAGTCTCAAATATCCCATTAATTTTTAAATTATTTTTCACCTTCAAGTGTCATTTGTTAGTTTAATTTTTATGGTATCGGTCAAGAAGTTGGCATTGTTTGATAAGAAATCTAGTATTCTAGTCTTTAATTTTCTTCCTTTACACAATTCTCTTATCAGCTTATTTTATTGTTATGCATCTCCTTACTTTCTTCAGAGTGAGGATTATGGAGGTGTTCAGAAGAATAAAAACCCTAAAACTCAAAGAGGGGACTTATTATGGTCTGCAAATGGATCTTAATGGAAAATGGAGGCAGGAGTCAAAGGCCCAAATTTTGACCTAGCGATACCTTTAATACCTCCACCATATATTTTCCAGACATGCAATAGAACTCTGTGTACAAGAAATACTTAAAATAAGATTAAATAGTACACAAATATACATTCTCAGACAGTCAAACAACTGAAGGCTTTAATGCATCAACTTTCACTTCAAAACTGGTCTGGGACTGCCCACCAGATCTCCAGCTCCTGGGAAAACATAATCAAGTAAATCTGATAATGGGTATCAGGACATGAGGGGTTGAAGTCGATGGACAGGCTGACTAGCAAACCAAAAGCAGCCTTCTCTTTGCACCAGAACCACAAATTATGCTAAAAGTGAAACTGAACAAAGAGAATGAAATGACCTGGATGAATTCACTAGATGCAAAACAATCAAAAAAGTTACTCATCATCACAACAAGAAAAATAAAAATCTACCATTATCTCAGTAGGCAAGAATTAAAAACAGTCGTGTTTTTGCCTTTATATTGGCCATTTCCCATTTAATTACCACCTACAAAAAGGAAAAACTGAGGCGGAAGCACGCCTAACCTGCCACTATTGGAATATTTGTGACTGAAAAGAATTAGCCTTGAAACAGTACAGCTTCTTTGAAAAAGTAATATTAATGCTTAAAGAAATAGCTATTAGGAAGTGCTGAACTACCCTAATGGCAATACACTTTCAGAGGTTTAGAAATAAAGAAGGATTAATTCCACAATAGATCTTTTGGGTCACAGTGGAAAAAAAGGCAGAATAAAGTCATCAGTGACCAAAAAAAAGGCAAAAATGGTGTTGGGATTTTAACCATTAGGGGGTGCAGGCTGCAAAAAATGGAGAACCACCGGCCTAAGGCTTATCTCTAAAGAATTATCTATCATAATCGTACATAAAGCAATTAGGTTATTTGCTTTTATAGGAAAAATGCCTGCTGTAGTAAGAATTATATTTTTTAGAAATTGCCCAGAAGCAAGCATGGAACTAGACTTAACTACAAACAACTTTCATTTGTTTGTTATTATATTAAAAAAAACAACACACAATATAAATATTAAATGCTTGTATAAATTTCTATAACAGGTTTCTTTTATTTTAATCTGCTCCACCGAATTCTTAGTCATACTACTAAAATAAAAATCAGTTTAATTTAATTTTATTTTTGTTTAAAGGAAATGTGTGCTGATGGAGGTACAAGTGATAACCTGGCTATAATAAACCAGCTTAAAAATTCACAAAAAATTACACGTTACGGTTAAGAATAAGCATTATTTAAAGATAGTTAAATGTTGCACCGGTCAAAGGAAAAAACTTGGAACTATGGTGCAGCTTTTGATCACAATAAAAAGCAGAAAGCACGCATAAGCACCCATTTCAGGTTTGATTTCAGGTAATAAAAAGAAAAAAGTATCAACAAATACATTTATTTGGACAGACAACAAAATCAAAATCATGAGTGATTATTGATATGATAGTATGAACTCGATAATCTAGGGCAGCAGTGTATGATGATAGACTGGCCGATGTTTAGTTAAGTTGAGTTTTTTACAACTGTAAATTACCTAAAATTATTTTTTTAAATCCCTTAGTAACTATGAAATCAGTTTTATGATTAAAAAAAAAAAGAAAAAGAAATTCCGGGATTTTAAAGTCCCCTTCAGTAGTGGAGTATGTAATCAAGGAAACTGTTTCCTTCCTGAAATATATTAAAATTGCTAGATTTTACAATTTTAGAGCTTTTAGTTTGAATTCAAGGTAACTAAAATGATTTTTTTGACTAGAAAAAACATGCGTTTTACTAAAATGTTCATTGTTTTTTAAAAATATATTTGTGCTACGTCATTATAACACTGTAACGCTATGTCAAATAATATTGCAGAAAATTATGGCAATCCCTTGAATATTACTTACATTTTATTTTCTGATTCTTCAAACACACGCTTAGTAGAGTCCTAATGTTTAACTGGATGTTAGGAAGCGTCGATGTATGATTCAACATAAACATCAAAATAAATTAGCATAATTAGGAAATCACCATGCTATTAAAATATCTTAATTACTAGACAGTTTAATCATTTAATTTGCTATAAATTACAAGTCGAGTTGACATATTAGTTTTATTTTCTTCATTATATCATGTAATTGGTACATTTATGTAATGGTACATGTATTAAAAAGGAAAAATTGAATAATTTTTAAAGTAAAATCTGAACAGCTTTGGTAATAAAGTACTGGCAATATAGGACAGTAAATAACTTCAGACTTAAAAAGACGTTAAAAACATCTAGAATAGAGAGGGTTCTGGTGAAAGAAAATTGTCTACAACTTTCTTGGAATTTTGATGTTTTCTATGTGTAACCCTTCCCAATCACTTAACTTGGTTGATACTTAAATTAAATTTTACATTTCTAAGTGGTTGTTTTTGTGTAATAAAAACTTCTTAGATAAATAATTCTAACCTCTTGAATATCACATATGTTGGCACGATAGCAAAAAAAAAAAAAAAATCTATGGCAGGGGTCAGCAAACATCATTGGAAAAGGGCCAAATCATAAACCAAAATCAGGTTACGGCGAAGAATATTTACATTATTTTTGTGACATTAATGAAATGGTGAAAATTTTTATTAGAAAATGAGGGTTTTTTGATTTTTATCATACTGGACTTCCAGGTCTTAGAAAATGTTTTTTTACATATAATTATCTACCGAAAGTATTAATAAATTCTTTTTATTTCCATATTTTGTTAGTATAATATAATTGGCCATGGAATGATTTAATTTTGACTAGTTTTCCCAGCTTAACCAAAATGTTAAATTTATCTCATCTTAGAATAAGATGTTCCTTATAACTATCTTTAAAAAACTGAAGTAATAAGGTAAGGAAAAACTAAATTTACAAATACTTTTGAAAAACAAAAAACAAACAACATCTATTATATATAGTATAGCACCTATATAAAAAAGTGTATAATCCTAAATCTACCTCTATCAGCTATTGCACTATAGAGTCTCCCATTCTTTATGTAAATATAATTTTAAGCTCGCTGTAGTTTGCCAATCCCTGATTAGTATAGTCTGGAATTTGAAGAATTTGACATTCAGCCAATTACTCACTAATAATAAGTCGCATATCCTAGAGAAATGAATCGATAAAAAAACCTATAAAAGTTCACATGAATTAAACTGAATGGTGTAGTTTTTTTTTATAAGTGGATAAAAGACTCAGTTTAAAGAGAGAGAGAGAGAGAGAGAGAGAGAGAGAGAGAGAGAGAGAGAGAGAGAGAGANAGAGAGAGAGAGGGTGAGAGAGAGAGAGAGAGAGAGAGAGAGAGAGAGAGTGAGAAAAGAGAGAGAGAGAGAGAGAGAGAGAGTGAGAGAGAATTACAATGTGGCTGTGAATTCAATAATTTGGATCAAAAAAGCATGCGAATCAAAACAAAATTGCATTTGCTAATGATTTAGCAACGTGAAGTGCAGAAGGATCAAAACACGACAAGCTGTGTTTAACTGTGTACGTCTTCCATGCAGAAAAAGTGCCCTCAAAATAATATCGTTAACTTTTATTTATGATAAGCGGTTATTTATTGAGGAATGTTACGGATTAGTTCAGTTACTCACCTGGATGTTAGTAATAAATTGCTGAATGTGTGGAATTGTTCGGGAAGCGGATGAAGATGTTGGTGGTATTGTTTCAACAGCTTCAGTGCTCGACATCACTACATACTGTAAACCACTTACAACTTTCATCTTCATGTTTGGTTAATTATTATAGCAAAAGATAAGTTTTGTTAAAATACATTCAATAACCATGTCAAAAGTTCAATTACCATTAAAGAGTATAAGTTAGTGGTTAAATGATTTGTAAAGTTATAAAATGTTGTGTTCATTATTAGTTACACAAAGTTAATTAATAAGGAAAATAGATAAGATAGAAAGAAGGAAAGAGATCATAAAAGAAAAAGGTTTACCTCCAAACAACTGAAACAACTAAACAACTAGGAGAAAGTGTTCTTTTGCTGGATAGTAAAGGACCCATATATAGTTTACACTGTCTTTTTCTTATTTCAAGGATTCATTCTTTTTCTTATTTCCAATTAATACATCATAATTTAATATTATTTTATATATAACAATATTGTCATATAAAACCTTCAGTTTATTAATCATTAAATATTAATGGTCATAATTGTCCTATTTAATTATTTCAATTAATTATACTTTTTATCTAAAGTCTTGGTTGAGATGAAAAACTAGCACCATGATTGGATTCGAACCCATGATTTTAGCTGAAGGTTTTTGCATAGTAAATTTTAAATATTGATTGTTTTAAAATACTACAGTAATTTTTTTTGGTTACACCTATAAATTGTAAATTGGAGTCATTAAACAAAAGTTTACATTTAATGTAAATAATAGATTACAATTAATTAAGGTTTTTAGTGGAGATAAAAAAGTCAATAGCACGAGCGGGATTCGAACCCACGATCTTCGGCTAGATACGCCGCTCCTCAACCACTTGAGCTATCGTGACCTTGATCCGCTTGGACATCAACTCCCCATCTCAACCGCACCTTTTCAATTTTCCCTCCTTTTATCTCCACTAAAAACCTTAATTAATTGTAATATATTAATTGGTCAAGCGGACCACGAAATTAGTGAATTTAGTAAATAATAGAATGCAATGTTATTATTAACATATGATTTATATGCATTTATACAATTCTAGTTCTTAATAAAAACCAAGTCTAGAGTTGGCAAGATATAAAATAATATTCTTCTCAAATTATAATGTATTTAAACTCATTTTTCAAATATGGAAATGGAATTTTTTTGAGTACTCACTCACCTTATCATTCGTCGTTGTCTGCTGGTGAGGGCTTGTAGTGAGAGTTGGAACTGGTTGTTTTTGCTTCCTTTGTGGATTTGCTGATTCATTAGGGTGTTGCTCGTGGCTCTCGTCATCGCTAGTATGTAAAAAAGGTCGTTGAGGGAGATCACCATTTGGTCGCATTGCTGGAAAGTGAGTATTCAGTTTTAATATTGTTCAACGACAACAAAGCACTACTGTATAAAATCTTAGTAGCTATTTTCTGTCAAATGTTATTGGTGTTGCTTGTGGTTTTGCATATCGTATAAACTGATTTTCAGGTTATGTCTTCCTGTGAAAACAAGAAGTGCGGAAATGTCGAGATTAAAATGGTTTCAAAGTATTGATTTTATAATATGATGGTTTATTAATTTAATATTTAATTACAACATTTATAGTGTGAATGGTTTCATACAAAATGTGATTTGCATTCTTCCAAAGGTTTTAGACTATTTATACTACTACAGTGCAAAAAAATATACATATATAACTGTAAATTTTAAACAACTTTTCACTACAATATACAATAACAGTTTTAATGATATGCTTTGTGTTAAATTGATGTGGCAAACTATCCAATTGTCTGTACTTCATCCCAAATTAACAAAGAAAAAAAGGAAATCTGGCTATAAATATTCCATCTGACAAAATATTATAAACATTTATTTTATTTATTTATTTTTTTTGAAAATTAAACTTTAACAATTTTCTAATTTTTTCTAATTGTTAGAATATAAGATATTAACAAACAAGTAGAGGAATAGGGAACTGAACAAAAACTCGTTTTTCCTACAACAAGTGTAATTATCACACAATACACTTATTTTCCACTAGTTATGCTGCCGCCTACCAGTATCTAATTGATTCCCAGTGTGCTTTTCAATTTCTTCTGAACTTGGAAATTCTCCAGGCCTCGCTTTGACAGTTACAGTTATATCAGCGGACGATCGACCAGCTTGTAAAAATAAAAAATAAAAATGTTATGAATGTAAGAGAAAAGTAGACCAGTTAAAGAGAACTATGAAAGATTTACCTAAACAAGTAAAAACTCCAGTATCGCCATAGCTTGCCTCTTGGATTCTCAAAGCACCCTTCTTTGATATTTTATACTTCTTAGATGAAGTTATTAACTTGTGATCTTTTGCCCATTGAATTTTAGACCTGTAGTAAGACAGAATGATTATTTCAAATAATGGTATATAAAAATAGAAAATTTTGTATGTTGTATGTAACATTTTTTGCTGTGTTTTGTACATGTAAACTAACACATGAAAACATACCTATCAAATTTTTTCACTGGGCATTTGATCTTGACTAAAGATCCGTGGTAAACCTGTGCATTTCCTCCAATTTTTAAAAAGACTTTCCTTTTCCCAGGATTATTCTGTACGTAAGTCTGATTGGCAGCAATTATCGGGGGTCGTTGATCTTCTGAAGGGCATAGTTTAGTATTACATGGCCTCCTATCAGGCGGGCGATTTTTCGGGCACTGTGATGGAGGTCGAGGTACAATATGATTTTGTGCCATGATTTGCTTACATTCCACAACCCTTGTTTTAACACCGCCTCCACACCGTTTAGAGCACTTGAATATATTAAAATGGTGTATATTAAATAATAATCTAATAATAAAATAATTTATTTTAAAACTTACTTTACTCCATTCAGAAGTATGCCAATTAACAGGGCAGTCCAGAACATTACAGGACTGACGATCAGTAGGAGGGGGTTGTGGGCACATATGATCAGGGACTATGACTGTATTGCTGCCTCCTCTGGTGACTTCATGAATACAGTAAACTTCGCGAGTCTGTATTCCCATGCCGCAAGGCTTGGAACACGCTTGGAATTCAGTGTGATTCCACCTTGGAGGACACGGATGATCATTGCACGTTTTTGTTAAAGCTTCTGGTCGAGAATCTGTTGGACAGAGGAATGGTCCAACAACCTTGTCATCATCTTCTTGCACACACATAATTATTGATTCTTGTACGCCTGCAAATTTTATATTTTAGCCAGGTAAATCTTTAGTTTTTTAATAATTTTTAAAATTACCTCCAAGGCAACTTGCACTGCAGTGTGTGTATCCTTGCATTTTCCAGGTGTATGTTTTCCCGGTCTTATGAGGAGCTACTTTTATGGGTGCAGTTTCACCATATGGCTGCCTGTTTTCACTATGTGGTCGATATCTGTCTGCATAGGAACTGTCTCCATATCCATCCCTTATTTCAGAATTTCTGAATTAATAAAAATTACTGTTGGTATTTATTTGTTTAAGTGAACACTTATTTGTAAACTTGTTGAGCTTGCCAAGCCTGGTTTTTTATATTTATTTTATTTTAAATGGCCTTATGAACTGTGCATATTAGCCAGAGAACGTTTATAGTATAATACATATGTATATGTAGGACTGACAATTCTCCTCGATAATTATATATANTGGGAATTAAACCCATGACCATGGGGTCTATGACCCTATGATAATACTATATTATTGTATATATTATGTATAGATTATTTGACGAATTTAGGGTTTAGGCCAAAATATCAATTTGAATAACAATAGAAATCTTGCCATTTTAACCAGGACATATTATTCGGCTGGATGGGTTAGATTAGGTAGTTAATGGTTGATAAGTATGAGTTTTACTTACTTACTCCTTTTTAATTTGGCTTCAATTTTTTTAAACATGATTCATTTCAAAATTTCTTTGTGTTCTCAGAAAAGAAAGTACATCCAAAAATTGGATCATTCTACTTGAAAAAAAAAGAAGCAATGTTTCATTTAGGTTAGGGTGTTAGGGACAGATTAGACTAGATTAGGTTAGGTTTAGGGTAAAGGTTAAGTTAGGTTAAGCTATCTAGGGCTAGGGTTAGGGTTAAGGATGGGTTAGGTTAAGAAGTTAGTGGATGCTAAGCATGAGTTTTGAAACTGTATTTTAATTCGGCACTAGCAGTTTGTTAAACATGACTAATTTCAAAATATCTTTGTGCATTGTTCCCAGAAAAGAAAGTACTTCCAAAGGTTGCAACATTCCATTTGAAAAAAGAAAGTTTTATTTACGGTTAAGGTTAGATTAGTTAGTTGGTGTTAAGTGTGAGTTTTAAATGCTGTATTTTAATTCGATTCCAACTTTTGTTAAACATGACTAATTTCCAAATATCTTTGTATGTTGTTTTCAGAAAAGAAAGTACTTCCAAAAATTGCATTGTTCCATTTGAAAAAAGAAAAATTGTATATAGGGTTAGGACTTTATCCTAGCTACAACCTGAGTGGCCACTAAGATTCTACAATTTGACGGTTCCAAAGAATTGTCCAAGCTCTTGGGAAAAAAGTACAAACAGAAACTGAGCTTAAATTTTACAAAGTAATGACTACCTCAATGCTGACGTATGGAACCAAATCTTGGACCCTTGGAGAGAAGCAACAAATCCAACTAACAGAAATGAAATTCTTATAGAGGATCCAGGAATGTACATTGTGGGGTAGTGAAGCAGAGTGGCTTTGTGAAGAAACTCAATGATGGAGCGAATCAAAGAAGGAGAAGAAAGATGGCTTTCACATATAGCAAATGGATGACCCCCAACTAATTAAACATGAGATAAAGGAAGACAGTGACATCGATGGTTATTTACGCCGTAAGGATTGCTCCGGATAAGATTTCGGAAAATCCCCCGCCACGCTTCCGGCCTCGTCGTCGGTCAGATCTAGTTTTGAATTCGTCGAGTCGTCGTCCTTGGCAATTAATAGCATTTTATACGAGTCGTGGTTCGCTTTAGAGTTCGTTTTATTTTTTTTTGATGTTTTAATTTTATGAATTTATCGTCGTTATCAAGACATCGCTCCGGTTGGTGAAGTTCCCGAGAGGTCTGCGTGGTGAAGGTCTCCGTCCCGAACTTTCCTGTCTTTTCCGACCATTTTCTTCCTTTCATCCCCCTTTACCTCAGTTAAGGTAGCCGGACTATCGTCACCAGAGGTGAGTGTTTTTAATTTTTATAATTTCTATTTTAATTTATTTCATTTTTTACATCCATAAGTACACTCGATCAAACAATGGTTGACGTGAAGAAATTCAGGTAAGGTTAAGTAAGGTTAGGGTTTAGTGTGAGTTGTAAATACTATTTAAAAAAAAAAAATTATTAAAAGCTGTTGTGTTTTACAAATGACTATTTTTTGTACTTTAGACAGGCTAAAAATTGATGTTTTAAATTTTTAGTAAAATAATTATAACTCAAAATCAAAGTTTTTTCAGACCTAGATAATACTGATATAAATAGAATATGAGGTATAATTTTTTAAATAGGACTGCATAATACTGCTTTCTTATTAAGTTGTATGTTTGATAAACTCATACTATTTGATGTAATTATAATGTAAATCGATCTTGAATACCTTTGATGGCATGGTGGAAGGTGACAAGGCTCGATTTCTGATGGTTTTGTTCCCTGGCAATGTGAATCAGAAAGACGGGCATACGTCCTTGAGAATTCAAGAAATATCGTGCAAAGCACTTCTCTTCTGCGCACGCCTTCACCACAAGTTACACTACATTCACTCCATTCTTCCGTTTTGTAACTGAAACAATTATCATGATATGTTCGATTATATTCATTTATTTTTGAAAATGTTACTTATAAAAAAAATTGTTGTAAAAACTGATAGTTATTTTAATATGCAACTTTATTGATTTTTTTATAAACGTTTTCATTGTGGAAGTATGTTAATGCATCCAAACAAAGTCAATTTCAAATAAAGGATTTAATTTACTAGTTATTAAATACATTACCAAAATGTATTGGTGTGTTGTAAGTTCCATTAACCTTACACTTTTTACTTACCTTTGTCTTTGTTAAAAATTTGTTATTCCATAACTAAGCAATTTAAATAGAGTTTTTCCCATTCTTATTATTACTTGGAGTAACAAAGCAATTTTTGTTTTTACAATCGATATTCTCTATTTTAAACATTTAAAGAAAAAGGAATGTATGGTGTTTTTGGTTGTGTAATTGCATAAATAAATTAGAAAAAAAAACTAATATTTACAAGGTGAGAAAAGATAAGACATTACAAGAAAATTGGTATGAAAAGAGAAAAGTGTAGATAGTCTTATAATAAGCACAATCATAGAATGTTTTATTATCAAAGCGAAAAGGAATTACATCCAATGACAACAGTGTTCAGGTTTCCTTAAAGAACAAAGACAGAAAGTTTTGTAAAAAAAAAGAAAATTAAAAATCAAGATTTGAAAGAAATTCGTAATACGTGCATATTTATCTAAATGTTGTCATTCATTGTAAGAGAAGAGGGTGTTAAATAAATTGGTCTACAAAGAATTTGAACTATGGTGCGTTTAAGCATGTGGTCAAGCTTTATGAAATGCAGTGTTTGTTATAAATAAAAAAAGGTGGTTATATCATTGTAAATCATAAAATTACACAATGAAATAAATGTTGATGAACTTTGGACGAACGGATGAAATAACACTGTAAAAGTGGTACAAAATAAACTGCAAAGTCTACAAACACAAGTCTTAAGATAACAGCGGCATACTTGTCCCAAAACAGCAATGGAAACCACACTCGATCTCCCACCAAATCATGTAATAAACCTGAGGAGCCATCACAAAATCCTAAAGATAATTAAAATAAGTGAGATCACTAGTATCGGACATAATGAGAGAAAAACATAACTTTGACTCTTCCAAGTGGTCCTACATACCAGAGATCTTTGGAAAAAGACAACCCAAAGTTTCAGGAAATGGTCCTAATGTAGTTGCATGGATCAAAGATGTAACAGAGAATAGGTGTAAGAATAAAAGGGCCAGATTACATCCTAATCAATCTTGGACAGGTCCAAACTATCTTCCAAGCTGAAATCGATGCCATCGAACGAAGAAAATGATAGGTGCATGGATATACTTTCAGACAGTCAGGCAGCTATTTAGTTGGCTAGCTTTTAGCTTCCAACTAGTCCAGGTGTGTATACATTTCCTAATGCCCCTAGGAGAAAAGAACAACTAAGGTGGGTTCCTAGACACAAAGGAAATGAACAGGCTGACCAACTAGAAAAAGAGAAGGAAGTTTCTAACCCATGGGACTGGAACTACAACTAGGCACATTGGAGAGAATTGGAGCTGGAAAATTGGCTTGATAGCGAAAAACGTAAGCACTAACAAAAGCACCACAGCTTTATCTCTCAATTAAAAAAAAAAAAGATTTTTCTTTTATAACTCTCAGAAAGGAAGGCAAAGGTATTCTTTTCTCTCAGCTGACAAGATTTAAGCCCTCTTTACTACCACCTAAAGAAGATGGGCAAAACGGAAAGAAATTTGCTGCTGACACTGTCAGGAGAAATAAGCCATCACATATCCTTTGTGAATGTGAAGCATTAGTTCAGAAATATAAATACAGCCATCGTTCTGCAAGTGCATTGTAATTTCTAATTGACAAATCTATATAGTATTAATTATAAAGGCAAGTAGGATATATTGATTTAAAGGTGATGATTGTTTAGAAAGGGGGGCAAATAAAAACTTGAAGTAATATCAATTTATGTGTTTTATGGTTTAAAATGTAATAATGAACGAGCTGTGATTTGATGAACTGTTGATCAAAAGAGAATATCTGATCCACATGTTTTGTTTTTCCTAATAATTCTCGAAGAAAAATTCTTGATGTAAACTTTGAGCTAAAGTGAACAAATATGGTCTAGAAATGATAATATAATATAATAAACTATTAATTTCGTCAATAGTAGTCTTTATTATTTTGCAATAAAAATGTATATTTCTAAATTTTCATTATAATTTGAAACTACGTATTTTACAATTTGTACCTATTTGTGACAGATAAGTGGTACTAATATTTATTTTGTGCACCGATTTGTTATATTTTATATAAATTATTGTCACCATTTTTACTTAAATAGTTCATTATTAACCTCAAACCTTTATTTAAAAATAAATATTGTTTGAAGGAAAAATAAAAGACTTTAAAGATTTAAATGTTAGGTTATTGCCATGCTCATTTATTTCTTTTAAAAAATTCATTTACCTTTTATGGTAGGTACATATTATAAATGATAAGCACTGATAAAAGTATAACTCGGATATTAAACAATACTGAAAATACTGACGATGTTTAAAAATTTAAGAAGACAAAACAGAAATGGAACATGTACCTTCAACACATGGTACAAAAATTGAATTTACATGTGATGCAAAATGTAACAATAAAAATGCTATAAAAAACCAAAAACTTGAATTAAAAGTTTTTAAAATTTATGAATGATAATTATAATAATGGTGGCATAATTTAAAAATACTGCAAATATTGTTATAAAAATATAAAAATTACATAAATGTGTATGTATTGATTGATTGATACATTGAACTCTGGTTGGACATACACATATATGAATCGTGCTTATTGGTGAGCACAAATGCTTTTCGGTTTACCTTACATATAACCATCCACACGCAAAGAACATTCTCACTGTGGGTCTGAAAAATTACAAGTGTGAATATCAAGTGTATTTGTGAGATAGGTGTGCATGTGCTACTACATAAAATTTGTAAAGTTGCACAACTTTAAATTTATAAGATCCACTCTTTAAAAAAACATTATCACTTGAACTTATTTTCTCTTTAAAAGTGACCGTAATTTAAAATTACATTGATAACAATACTGTATGTAATAATAATAATTGGAAAAATTGGGCAATTTTTGCAAAATTTCGCATCTGAATCCAATTATTTATTATGTTTCTTATAATAAATCGTTACCGACGTGTAGGCATATCTAAAATTGTACAACTTTTAAAGAAATTAGACACCAGGAAGGGCACACATATCACTATTCGGAAGATTTTTATTTAAACAGTGTTCTAATAACGTGTTTGTATAATATAGTATTTGCACGTTATAATAATAAACATCTGTAAATATATTTGTTAAATTTTATTAATTAATAATACAAAGACGATAGCGTCAGAGGGAAATTAATAATATCTCGCAATAAAACCTGATTAAACAAAATGCTTACTTTGGCTCTGGCGATGCTACTGATGATATTTTTGGGTCACTGACCAGTCTCTCAGCGACAGGCCGAAACGGTGGATATGGGTGTAGTATCCTCAAAGTTTCATCTATATCTAATGGTGGAGATGAGTTTTCTGTAATAAAATTGAACACACAAGTTTTATTATAGGCAAATTTATAAAAAAAAATATCTTTGTAATAATATAAAGACAGTTGTTCGCGCCATTTACTCGCATTGTTTTTAGTGACGTTTTGAGCACTTAAGATTTTAAGCTTTTAAGCCCTTATTTGCTCCCCCACAGCACCACTCCGTTTTTCGTTCCCTTTGTTCTACGCTGTTTTTAGTATCATTTTTGCCTCCGGATGTAAAGTGTTGTTCGTTTTTGCTTTTTTTTTTGGTGGCCCTGAAAAGGCCGGTGTTGTTTGGACGTGTAGCATTAAGATGATGAATGAGGCCGGGACCGAGTGTGAGTTTAGGGATGTGACTCTACATCGGTTGAAGGGAGTCGGTGCAGCAGCCGTTGTTTGCCAGTAGCCGAGTTCCCTTGCCATCGTCATAGGTGCTTCGTTAGTGATAAGCGAAAACTCGTCGGGGAGACGAGTTTTGAGGTGTGAAGTGAGTTTTCGAGAAACTGGGTCCTACCATAGAAGGCCCGGTTCTGGATACCCTAGGGTAACATAACCACAGGATGACCGTTTTTTGACTTTAGAAATTTTGCGAGACCGACACCTTACAACTTCAAGCGATCCATCAGCTCCAGGAAGTTCGAGGTGTACAAATTTCTGAACGCACTGCTCGAAGAAGATTAAATCAGTATGGACTGATGGCTTTTCGCAACGTAAGAGGAACAGAATTGATCAGAACACACAGTTCCCATTTGCTCGAGAACAGCCATTAGTCTTTGGACGATTGGTCTGCTGTACTTTTTACAGATGGGTGTAGATTTGCTCTACGATCTCCAGTTGGGCGTGAAAGAGTGTGGAGAAGGCGAAATGAAAGGTACGAAGCTTGTAATTTTTCGCAGAGCCAACCTTTTAAACGTAGTACGGTGATCGTGTGAGCAGGAATTTCAATGGAGAGTCGCACAGAGTTGGTTGTTGTTCGTGGAGGGTCTTTGACCACCACTCGCTATGTGGATGAAATGTTGGAACATGATGCGCTGCATATCCTCGAAGAAATCATCGGCAATCCTACTCTAATGCACGATAATCCCCGTCCACATTCGCTTGCATAGTACAAGCATACCTTCAACAGCATAACATCAGGGTTTTATTCTGACCAGCCCGTTCTCCAGACTTGAGCCCCATCGAACATTTACGGGAAAACCTCAACGACGAATAAGAGCAGGTCCATCACTTCCTGATACACTCCACGATCTTGAAAGGACTCTTTGCGAAGAATGGACTAACCTCCAGCAAAGAGACATTTCCAGACTGGTAGAAAGTATGCTGTGGCGTCTTCGAGATGTAATTAAGGCAAGAGGAGGGAATACGCGATATTCCGCGAACCCGTCCATAGACATAATGCTAGCTAATCTGAGGACTTTAGGTTGAAAAAGTATGACCACTGTGTGTTGGCTTGGTGAAACTCTGGAAAAAAGTTCTTCAAAAAAACTTCCACGCAAGTCTGCTAAGTATAGTCCTAAGCATCTTATTTGCGTCGCTCAGACCCACTAAAATCATCTTTCAAGCCGAATTTCTTACCATACAAACATATGCATTTAAAATAAACAACAAACATGCTAAGGGTAAAATAATAACAATAGTATGAGATAGACAGGCAGTTTTAAAGGCTGGTTAGACTCTAAAGACTCTCCAAGCCTACAAGATAAAGTCAAAACTAGTCTGGAACTGCCTGAATACCCTAAAAAACCGGGATTTACAAAAGGTCTGATTCTAAGGTGGATCCCAGGTCATGAGTGAATTTCAGGCAATGAACCAGCTGGAAAGGAAGCTGGAACAACGCATAGGTAAAATCTATTTTGTGTTTTAAATTATTAAAATTTGACATTAATTATTACAAAAATATCTTGGGTTACTAAAGAACACAACGTATGCCAGGCACGAGGCAACAAATGTGCAAATCTGTAGCACACGAGTAAGTAAAAAATAAGTTAAATAATTCTTTTTATTCAGTAGGGCCCTAATATGACATTCGTTGTTGGATGTTGAAGAAATGGGGTCAAACCACCTTTCTTCATACTAATCAATTAAAAATCCACGGGCCCTGCCGGGATTCGAACCCAGGACCGTTAACGTGGCAAATAAAGTTCGTACGCACTAGCCACTCGGCCAGCGCGATCCCCGACATGAGTATTAGGGAGATGAAGTTACAATATCTGCTAATATATATATATACCTGGTGAGCAAGGAATCCCTGTTGTACATGTCTGGATTGCTTCTGGCTTTATTTCTTCGTCACACATCATATTTTCTGATCCCATGTTATCACAACTAACTTCCCTCCTTTGTACACCTCCGCCACAAGAAACAGAGCACTTGAAAAAATAAAATTAATTTTTGATTAAATTGCTTAATGCAGTCAAACAATTAAAACTAATCTTTACCCCAGACCACTGCCCAATAATCCACTGAGGCGGGCACGGAAAGGTGTTGCAAGGCTCAACTTCTCTTAATTTTGGCGACTTACAGTAGTGATCTGGAACCTAATAAAAATCGACATAAAGACAATATCATCATAAATTGCATATCTTTGTTTATGTAAGGTTTTGGTTGAAATGAAAAAGCTAGCGTCACGAGCGGGATTCGAACCCACTACCTTCGGTTCAATACGCCGCTGCTCTAACCACTTGAGCTATATTGACTCAGACACCGACTCCCCATCTCAACCTTCAACCTTTCGAATTTTCCCTCCTTTTTTCAAATGTCGTGTAATCAGGATTCGATTCTCCGCGACATATGAAGTGGCCACGAGGAGCTGTTAATGAAGTATACTTCGTTTTACTTATTAAATCCATTATATTTAGTGGTCTCTTTAGCAAATTACTTCTTTCAATTTTGTAGGGTGTTGTGTTGGGTCTATGACTTTGGAAAAAAGTGTATGTACTGTCTTATGCTATTTTAATGTATTCTGAGGAGAGAAATTACTTACTGACAATTGTCATACAAATTAAGTAAATTTCTCATTCAATATGACACGACAAGAATAACACTTTATGTGAGTATGACATACTTGGTTCAAAATTTATAAAATGTACACCTGAATTGTATTTTTTTCCAATCAACATGCTTTGTAATTTACCCAGGCCCTGAAGATGACCCGAATAAAGGTCGAAACGTCGGCAAAAAAAAAAGAAAAAGGTGTTTTAACTACCTCATTCCTGACCACTCCTCACAACTTCATCAAATTATGAAACAACAGGTCACTAAGAAACCCACATTTAAAAACATATAAAAAAGGGGGTAAGTAATTGATTATTTACTTAATTCTACGGTTTAGGTTTTGGGCTCTTTGCACCAATCACAGTTTAAACTAAGTTATGAAATAAAAAAATTAGTGTCACGAGCGGGTCGTGGGTTCCAATCACACTCGTGACACTAGCTTTTTCATTTCAACCAAAACCTTACATAAAAAAGATTAATTAATTGAAAGAAGTAATTTGGTCAATCAGACCACTAAATATAATGGTTTATAAATTGCATAATTATATCATATTAGTTAAATGAACCTTCACAGATGTTGAATTCGTTTTTCGCATACACGTTACAGTTCGACTTCTCATTCCCTTACCACACGAGACAGAACATCTTCCCCAAGAAGTTGCCACCCATCTATAAAACATATATATTAGTTTTAAAATAAATAAACAAAGAAATTCATTTTTGCTTTGGAATACAATAATTAAAATTTTCAAAACTTACTGCATTAAAACTAGGCATAATAAAGTTTTTAAATAATTGTATAGTATTTATAGTTATTGTTTGTGTAGAAGAAATGAAAATAGATAAAGAATTTTTTGGAATAATGTGTTCGATGGTTCATTAACCGTCATGATGTTGATATACTGATGGATGTCCACATACAAAAAATATGAGTGGACTTTCTTATAAAACTTACTTGGAAGGACAAGCATGTGTGTTACATTCGATCATGTGAGTTTTAGGTTTTTGAGAGTCATCACAGAGCTTCGAATCCACATCAGATCCAGTAACCACATTTTTACAAATCACTTCGGACATTTTGTACCCTGAAAAGTATCGTACGTTATTTTTATACTGTATCAAGAAATCATGATATAAATGATAAAAATATCAACCTGTGCCGCATGTAACTGAGCAAAGAGAAGTTGACTGAACTACCCAATGGTACAAAGGTTGTGTACAGGAACTGCTATCTCCTCCACAGATACCACAGCTGTCAACCCTTGCTTCCGATCCGATCACCAAATCACAGCCTACTCTCTAAAACAGAAAAACAAAATAAAAAAAGCTAAGAAAAGTAAAAGAAAGTTAAAAATACCTGACAAATCCCTCCGACACAGAGGTCCAGGCTGCCTGGTCGACATCGAGTTCCGTCTTTAACAGTCGGTGCCAGTTTCGCAATGACACCTGTATCGGATTGACACCATAGCTCACACGGCTCAGTTTCGCTGCCTCCGTAACCGACCCAGCTCATGAGTTTTCCCTCAAATGGTATATCATTGTATGCCGCGCACTGCTGATCACGAAATTCCACGGCGTCTGGACAGGGCTGAAAGGGTTTTTCCAGTTATAATAATATTTCTTTATAGTAAATATACTATTTATAAAACAGTTACTACCTGCATGTTGCATATTCGGTAACGTACAGTTGGTCCTATGCAATGGTGACATTTTCTTAGTTGAAATGATGTGCCACCATCACATGTCCTTGAGCAAGGGGACCATTCAGACCAACTTTCCTAAATACAAGAAAAAAAATCAGAAATGTATAATAAACAAGCTATCCAAATAATAAAAGAGCGTACATTTTCTTCTTGCAAACTGATCAGATCTTTGTATTCATCGATGAATTTTGAAGACACAGCTGTTGGAGTGTTATACTTAACCGCAACCTGGAACGAGTGAAGATTTAAAGTTAATTCCATAAATCTCTCAGTAATATCTTGTAATTTATGATATCAGGGTTGAAATCAAGAAAAACATCGGTTCTCCCTTAGCCCATAGAAAATCTTTAGATGATAGAAAATCTTTTATATCATCAGAAGTCATACCCAGCAAAACTTGGGCTTTGTAAAAAGACAGTTGGTAAATTTAAAAAATCTTTGTGTCTTAAAATCCTCTACAATCACTGGTACACAGCCATTTGGAGTGTGATAGTATTGTTTGATCACCCAAGATATTGCATATTAAATTCAAAGGATTACTTATTTTCAAAATGAATATACAAAACAGTTATGATCTCTTCCATAAGACTAAATCTGGCATTGTTGGGCTCACACGAAGGCAGAAAAATCTTATCTTCAGATTAGTTTGTATAGTAGATTCCAAACAGTAGAATTGATTCATAGGAGAAAACTGCCTTCCATTATATTCGAATCATTTGTACCAATTTAGAGAGATAATTGAATAAGCATTGATCAGCAAGGATCAAGTAGGAGCCATTACTTTGCGTTGGAAGGGGCAATTTTATTTTCTAATGATTTCTTAAGCGTGACTAAATGCTCGCCGGATTCGTCGAGGCGGTTTTAAAATCTGCACATTTATTTGAACCAAATGTGTAAAAACTTGATAAGGTGTTGAAAACCCTAATTATCTTTGAGGACTTATCAAAACAAGTAATGCTACAACAGGTAGTAGGCAGAGGCACATTGTGTAAAGTCAAAAATGTGAGATATGGACTCTTTCCTTGCACAAATCTCATTTCAATACTTCCGATTCTCAAAGAATGCTCTTAATCACATACATACCTCGGCTGTGGATTGCGGAAAATTGAGGTGGGGACAAGGTTTAGGGTATAGCCCCTGCTACAAATCTAAGGGTTGTATCCTCTCTGAAAAGGTCCGCCGGCAGGACACCGTCATCATTGCAAAGGATGTCTAAAGGACTTGTTCTGAAAGCCCCTGTCGCAATCCTGATACCCCGATAATAAATCCCTATATAGGGGTTTGAGGGTAGATTTTCTCACCGAAGAATATCCACCTGCTACATATTTTATTCTCCAAACTATTTCATATTTTACCTGCTTTATTTCATAATTTTTTTGTAAAAAGTTGAACGTACGTTGAATTTGATAAAAAACTCCCCTGTAAAAATTATCATTATCTACTATTATTAATATTGTTGATGATAAGAACTTAGATAAATGAGTTTGGGAAATTAATAATATTATCTGAATTTCAATCACTTCGACATCGAGTTACTTAGTTGAATAAGGAACCTGATAACACAGACGAAGGTTCAATTACCAGTTAAACAGGGTGCTTATTAAGTCCTCTGCTTTTCTCCTTATCCATTAAATTGACATTTTCCTTTTCCGGGGTCACGGTGACACTAGGCTTTTCCAAAGTGGCTGTATTTTTTCCTCATGCTTTGTAGTCAAAAAGTACAAATTCTTATGCTTCTTTTGTTTCTTGACACAGTCAGGGTTCTCTTTCCGTTTTTACCATATTTTTGAGTTGGTAATTAAATGGGAAATGGCCAGTACAAAGGTCTATTTTTTCTTAATTCTTGCTTCTGAAAGAAAATATTTTTAATTTTTCCTTGTAATGTTGAGAAACTTTTTGGATTGATTTACATCTTTTTTCTACATCCATTTGTTTACTTTCACTTTTAGACTGTTTTGTGCTTTTTTGTGGTTCTAGTTCAAAGGCTTTGGCTAGTTTGCCACAAATCCCTCGTGGTCTGGTACCCATATCAGAGGTACAGTATTTGCTATAATATTGCATTAAGTTGAAGTTTAAATAGCCTAAAGAATTCAGTGCTGCTTGGCTGTCTGGGAAGATAAATCGCAATTTTTAATTCCTTTTTAAGTATTTCTTGTGCACAGATTTCCGCGGCCTGGAGCTCAGCTTTGGAAAATTGATGGTGTGGGGCCAAGAGGTTTCGCTAGGACGAAATTTGGGCTTTCGACTCCAGTCTTCACTACTTGTTCCATTTTAGATCTATCTACAATCATAATAAGGCCCAGTTTGAATTTTCGTAGGCCATCCTCTGGATGTGATGGTTCCTATAGGTTTCTCTGGTTTAAAATTTAAGCTTTCGACTCCTGCTCCATGCCATGCTCCATTTTAGATCCATCTAAAACCATAATAAGGCCCAGTTTGAATTCTCGTATGCCATCCTCTGGATGTGATGGTTCCTATAGGTTTCGCTAGTTTAAAATTTAGGCTTTCGACTCCTGCCACATGCCTTGTTCTATTTTAGATGGATTTACGTACCCATAATAAGGCCAGGTCTGCCCTTTCGTATGCCGTCCTCTGGATGTGATGACGTGGGTCTAGTGGTTTCGCTAGGTTAAAATTTGAACCTTCCACTTCTACCCTATGCCATGTTCTATTTCTGATCGATCTATATACCATAATAAGGCTAGTCGAAACATTCATATACCAACTTCTGGATGTGATCGTGTGGAGCCTTGAGGCTTCGCTAAGTCCAAAATTGGGCCATTTTAGGCCATATTTTTCCAAACATCTCTTCTTACATCAGACTGACAAAGAGTACGCTCTAAGCGTCATTGTCGGAGTACGCATGATAACTCCTTGCATATGACAGATGGCTCTAAATCGTAGTTAATGATTAACAAACTAGACAAATATTCGTTAAATAAAACAGAAAAAAATTATTTGCCTCCATGTACAAGCTTCTAGAGCTTTCCTTCGCCTAGAGACCCTATTAAAACCGATGTTTATGCTTACTCTACAATTACTTTGTAAATATTTAATAAAAGTGGCTACGAAGAAAGCATTTGTATATATTTTTTTAAAACAGTGTAAATTTTAAAAAATTCTGAGCGAAACACCTGACCCTCAGTATTTAAAAATATACTGAGGGTATTTTGACCAATCAAATAAATCTACACTATACCAGTTAAAAAGAAAAAGGCCCATATCAGGAGGATTCAGGATCAAGGACAGAAACAATAAAAATAACCTAGACAATCCACTAAAGGCTAGTGGCTAGATGGTACTAGGCTAGACTAAAGGCACTAGTACCATAAATCTTTGTTCACATTTAAAAAAAGCAACTTTCATTTTTTTATGTTAAATTTAAGAATAGCAGTTAAGAAATAATACATATGGATTAAAATATTAATAAAAAATAAATAAAACGTCTTTATCTTCTAATACCTAAGGGAAGGAATCTGTGCTTATCACATTTTAATTTATTGTTGATAGCATCCCTTTAAGGGTCTTTTGTTTGACCATTTCCATCATATTTGCTTAGGATGGTACCTTTTTAAAGCGTGGATGAAAATGCTTTTTCTAATGTATTTTGTTTCTTGGTAAAGATGTCATCTTTTTCTCGTACAATAAAAAGGCACGTACGTATGGTGGTCACGCGCAAGCAATAAGGTCCAATCTGAGAAAATTTACTGCGATGGCCGATAATTCTCTTTCTACCAAAAGAAGGCTAAAGGATTTAATAAAAAGAAAAAGAATGAAGCGAAAATAAAATGTTCGTACAAGGTGGCCGGATGTAAAAGGTAGAATTCGTACATGTTAACACTTGAGCTTGAGTGACAACGACCAAGAAACAAATGATGATAGTGATAAAGAAGAAAAGAAATAAAATAAAAAGTTGCCCTCAAAGTTGTGAACCAACATTAAAGAAGCCTGTAGATTAAGGAAAGAGAGAATCTTCAGCCTTGAGAAGTTACTAAAGAAATTGAAAGAGAATAACCGAATGAAAGAATTTTCTAATTAGATTTAGGATTAGAGTAAGAGTTAGGGATGGGTTAAGTTAGGGTTAGAATTAGTTAGAAACGTGTTAGTTTAAGTAGGTTAAGGATTAAGGCTAACTTTAGGGAGTTAGGTTAGGGTTAGCGTTAGTAAGAGACAGGTTTGCTTAGGTAGGGTTACATTTATAGCTAGCTTTAGGGAGTGTTAGGTTAGGGTTATAGTTAGGAACAGGTTAGGTCAGGTAAGTTGAGGGTTATGATTAATGTTAGGGACGGGTTAGGGTTAGTGTGAGGAGTTAAAACAGGGTTAGGTTAGGGTTAGAGCTAGTAAGAGACATGTTAGGTTATGTAGGTTAAAAAGGTTAAGGCTAGCTTTAGGGACTTGTTAGGTTAGGTTAAAGAGGGTGATGGTTAGAGATATTCGCGTTTATACTATGACACCTGTCTTCAGTGGCTTACCATCAGTCTAGTCTTAATAAGTCCTAGGTTGAGTAGTTCTGCTTTTAGTTTGTGCGATGGTCTTTTGATAACCGTAACTTTCATATGCCATTGAACTGAGGACTTATTGTTAACCCAGTTTCTGCTTTTGACATTTGGTATGCCGCAAAAGGGTTCAGGCCCGATAGGTGTCCTGATTGAACATTCTTGAGCCAATATTTCGGCTTCTAGTATGCCCTGCTCTCCAAACAAGGTTAATTTTATTGATGTCCCCAATGTTTGACAGCCCCTAGATTATGAAACAATCGACATTAATTATAATTAACTAGTCATGACCGTGCGTTTCATAGCTTTCTTAGGGGTAAAAACCAAGCTATTTCTTTAAAGATTAATAATTTTCTATGAAAAATGAATTGTGGATAAATGTCGAAGAAAGGCCAGGAAGCATGGCAAAACCAAAGGTACACATGAAAAACTTATGGTGACTAGAGTTTAGACTATCATTGAAATTGACCAAATGCATTAAAAACTTAGCAAAAAATTGGTACTACATTGGTAAATTGGAAGGGTCCTACAACATTTATCAAGGCCTTAATAAATTAAATCAGCCGGATTACGAAGTTCTTCCAAGTAAACTTACTCTTTATTGTATAAGTTTATTTTCATTACAATTAATGGAAAATCTGTCAAACCCAGTTGTAATTGGAATCAACGCAGTCCAACAGGAAACATTTATTAAAGCTAAGCTAAGCGTTGAACATTATTTTAGACTACGAAGGCAATCTGCGCAAATGGCGAGCCTTATTAATTATAGAGATGAGCAATGGTTACGATTGAATGATCGTTTTGTTGGAATGAGAGGCTGTGTTGCGTGCGAACGGAATCTCATTCCAGATTTGAGGTAAACGTGGCTGGAATAATAGAACCCAATCAGGGACTACAGATGGCCAAATCATATGGGTAATTTTATTCTACCATTTGAAACAGAAATACACAAAAAGGAGTTAAACAGTACAAATTGACGATAATAAATAAATACATCGTCGTGTAAAGAATATAATAACTTACCACCAGAACAATGACTGTTGACATCAAGTTGAAAGCTGCCATTCCTTGTATTCTTCCGCCGCAGGTTTCAAGTTCAATTATGAAACGTCCATTCCTCTCTGAAAAACAACCAAAAAAACATTGGTAAGATTTTAATGAAAATGTAGGTAAGGAAAATAAAGTTTTACTCAAGGAAAATACATGAAATTGAGATCTAAAAATGTCTAAACCGAATAGGTCCTCTGATGGTTATTTATTCGTTGTAGTCGACCAAGGAAAGGTACGCATCATGGTTCGGGAAATGGCAGACGGTGATCTACAGACGAGAAGGATTGCAGGCATATTACAAAATCTTGGTCTATTCGAGATGAGACGTGAGAAGGTCTCAAAATCCAGCTAGTCGAGATTTCCCATGTAAACGACCAGGGGAAAGGTACGCTCCACGCTGTGTGGTTTCTCAGCTGACAATTCTTGGTTGTTCATTTCAGAAATTCGGTCCATGGTCAACCTAGATCTACCGACGAGAAACATTGCCGGTATATCTCAAAATCTTGATAGATGATTACAGATTACACGAGAGAAGTCTCAAATCTTCAGATAGAGATTTCAAGTGGGTATCCCAGACAAAAGGTACGCTCTATGCGGTTCTTCAGGTGGCATTTCGTGATGGTACATTCCAGAAGATCAAAACAACGCCGACGAGTGGGAGCCGTATATCAAGCACCTTCTGCGCAATAGCAGTCACTGGAAATCACATTAGAAGACTCACAAAAGGCGTTGTTTGCTGTTTCCACTTCCAGCAGGACGAAGAAGGCTTACGTTCCATGATGTACGGTTATTCAGGTGGGTCATTGATATTTTGGAACTTTCGACACTCGTGCAAAGTTTATTGAGGAGCGTGAGGGCCATTTGCGCCCTAGGCGGTAGATTCTTGCTTCTGCAAGCCCCATGAAACCCGTACTGCCGATGCTGAATTTGGTTGGAATTGTGTGTACAGTGTGGCCAATTCGTAGTCCAGACTTGAAACCGATTTAATATATTTGGGACCATCTTATGGTTGGTACCCTTGAACAATTAGAAAGGGCTGTTATTAAAAAATGGAAAAATATTTCTCAACATGTTATCGAAAATCTTTTGAAAAGAATGCAAAGTTGTTTAATTTAAGTTCGTGCCAAAAGTGGAAATACTCGTTTTTTATATATATTTATAGATTCTTTAAATTTCGATTGTATATTGGGTCCCAGTTGTAGTTGGAATCAATGCAGTCAGGAAACACTGATTTATACAGAGGACTGTGTTAAAATTTGTAAGAGGGAAGATAATAAGAGGTGCATAAAATTGCGAATAAAAAGAGGGATGGAAAGGCTAATGGGGGGTAGGTTTTTTCGAAACAAAGAAGTATTATAAGAGACACGTTTTAAGCATCACCAAATTAAACACTGAAAGAAAGATTGACAACAAACAACCCTCCTTTGATCCTTGCGGTATTTCCCGGCAAAAAATCCTCCCCTATTCTCGAACTAAACACATTCACACCGGCCTCTTTACTAGAACCCCTACTTTCTGTACAATGACAGAATTTTTTTTTTAAATACGTTCGATGGAGGAAATTTAATTTCATGTCTTTCTTCCGGGCGATGAGACCTTAAAAGCTTTTTGAGAAAGGTCGGGAGGAACAATTCCAATATCGTTTAGGTACAGTTATCCTAAGGATGGCTTAGTGATAACAAGAATCCCAACTATTTCCTTTGTACCGCTCTCTTGTACCATTTTCCAAAGCAAATATTAAATTCTTACTCCATTAACTCCTTTGAGTTTTACCCATTTTACCATTTGCTGACTGTTTAAAACTCATCTCAACAAAATATTTTAATTTTCGATATGTAAAACCAACTTTACAATTATTTAAGTAAAGCATGAAATATGTCTTTCCGTAAATCAGCAAAATGAAAAAAATAAAACTCAATAGCAATAAGGCCACGGTTTATAATTTGTTATGTTGCATAAGAAAACACGGAGAAGAGATGGACAAATTAAAAGTGAACAGTGTCGATCAGTTCATAGTGAGTCTCAACTCACAGACTTTCATTTCTAATTATGGTCGGAGTTTCCGATTCCAGGCCTTCTTTGCATTCAAATAAAACATATAAAGTTTTAACAGACACAAAGGAGAAGAAGAAACCAAGGGAAAACACAGATGGTTTTACAAAAAAGAGTGAACCTGGGAATTGGGTTAGGCATGTCCTGGGCAAGAACGGATTGTGATCAATCTAACTTCTCACCCATCGGCTTTTCAAGTTGAAATACAGTATTAATGATTGTGCCATGGAAAATCATAAAAGATGTTAAACTGACCAAAAAGCAATTATAGAATCAGACAGCCAAAAGACCCTAAAAGCAATAACACATCAAAATGTCACATCCAAAACTTACTTAGCCTAGGAAAACTTATCCTAACAATATCTTCGGTGTGAGGGAACATTTTAGAAAGACAAATTAGGAATATTTGCAAGACGAACTGACTAAATAGGTCATAGTAAATAACAATCCAGTTATTTATTATTTTAGTCAGCTGCGATCTAAGTGTTATAATAATTTAAACCTTCTTACTACCTATTAAAATCAATATTTCTAGATTCAGTAACCTTCCAATTCATACACAGATGAGTTGTTATATAACATAACTTATTATATATTATATAACATTTACTTGTTAATTTAGTTAATTTGATCTATTCCGTCAGCTGTGCATGAGTTGGAAGGTTAGGAAGTTGAGAACTTTGATTTTATTGCTCCAAAAAGAATCACAAATACGTGAAATTACATGATGGTTATCTAAACGATAAATAAAGGTTGAAAAAATACATGATACATAGATAAAAATGATAAATAAATTAAACGATGTTACGACCTAATAAAATTAATATGTCTCGATTCCATAACCTGCCCAACAAAGGATTTAAAACAACATATTAAAACAAAAAAAAAACTATCCAGATAGTACAAAATCTCATCGCGCCATATTTCATCTAACTCTGTCACCAGAGTCATACACAGACGATTGAATAGGTCATAGCAAATGACAATCCAGTTCCTTGTTAATTTAGTCACATGTGATCTATTCCGTCAGCTGTGTACGAGTTGGGAGGTTAGTTAGTTAAGAATTGTTGATTTTATTGATCTAACAACAATAGAAAATACATGAGATTACATAACAATTCACTACATGATAGATAAAGATTGAAAAATACACGATATTTACATAAAAAGAGTAAATAAATTAGGGTTGTTATCACCGAATAAAATCATGTGTTATCATTTCCGTAACCTTCCAACTCATACACAGATGACTAGATAGATCACAGGTGACTAAATCAACACAGATTACCAGATTTTTATTTACAAGTATACGTGACTAATGATTAAAGCAGATACGCCTTTAGACCAGTCAAGACATCCATAGGCCCAGAACGTATATCTGGGATATCCTCAATCTCAAAATGAGTACACTCAAAACAAAAGGAGAAAAGACAAACTCTAAATGTGCCAGACCTGTACAGTCAAACAAATTGTTACAGCTAAACAGGGTTAAACACATAGTGATATGGCATCTGAGAAAACACCTACACAACATGGTTATAGTCACCGATGACCTCAATTGTAGATTATGTAATACGGTGGCAACAGTAAACCCTTATTATTTTCGAATGCAAAGCAACCGCTCAATGGTGACGTAACCCAGGGTGTTATAGCAATAACAGTCAACCTTCTTCTTATAAAAAGGAATATAAATAATTGAATTGACTAAGGAACTTTTTTCAGTATGCTAGGCTACAGAACTTAACGAACATTAAACCCCTCTTTTTACATTTTAACCATTCAATCATATCCCACTTATTGTAATAAACAGACCGTTTTGGAATAGTTGTAATAGTTCTAAAATAAATGATCCTAAAGCCGTAGAATTACGTGTCATCTTGTGCAACGCCTTTCTTACATTTCTGTACAATTAATTGTGTAAATATTATAAATTATAAATCTGGGCTATTTTATTTTCCAATAGTTAAAATGTAATTTTTTTGAACAGGCTCATCGAGGATGAAAAGGATAATTCTTTACCATTTAGACTGCCATAATAGTAATGGAAAAGTTTTAGCTAGACTTTTTTTTTCAATATTTGAACAAATTTATGAAAAGGGTGCTGTACACATTAAAAAAACCCTGACTGAATATCCGCTTTCACCAACCCTCTCAAAGCAATTTGTGTTTTTTGTTTATTACCCAGTTGGAAATGAGGCCGGTCTGAATGATTGCAGGGAGGCCGACCCTACGAGGAAAATGGGCTACACTCCTCAAAGTAGATGTTGATGAACAGCCAATGTGAGAAGTTTATTGAAAGCTGCTTCAGTTATTTGTTCACCCTTCAAACGCAGTGGTACCCCATTTAAGGAAGGCTTATAATGGGTGGTAACCTCAATATATTATAACCAGACCCGGTCCTCCTTACTTCCAAACCTTCAACAAAAGGTCCTAGCTAACATTGTACGCGCTAATCCTATTAAACATTTAAAATCATTAACTAGGAAATATAACAAATTTCACCTCTTGAAGTCGTCTTGTTTATTGAGTATATAATCGAGTATATTGATTATGTAAGATCTTGTAAAACACGTTTTTTTTCCTACTGATAAAATACTTTAGGAAGTGGTATCGGCGAGAGAAGGGGATCGAATTTCGATCGAGAGGAATCTAAGCCCAAATTTTGACCTTGCCACTAGGCCCCGACACCAAGTTTCCAATCTAAGCTCTACGCAGTAGAAATCTGCGCACGGGAGACTTTAGGCTCTTCAACCTTCAGCTCAACGTTACGCTGCTACATATCTCCAACTCCTGGGACAATGAAATACTATGATGTGGGTGCCGGACCACGAGGGGTTTGAAAGCAAATGACAGACTGGCAAACTAGTCAAAACCTTTCGACTAGAACCACAGATTAGCACAAACGAGTGTACAAGTGCTAGCAAACAAATGGATAGAGAAAGATATGATCTGCATGAATTTTCCAGATGTAAAATAATCTAAAAAAGTTCTTCAATATCATAAAGAAAAACAGAAAATA